GTAAAAAGACGTGAATTCACGTCAGCGGTACACAGGGGTAAAAAGACGTGAATTCACGTCAGCGGTACACAGGAGTAAAATGACGTGAATTCACGTCAGCGGTACACAGGAGTAAAAAGACGTGAATTCACGTCAGCGGTACACAGGGGTTAAATGAGGTGAATTCACGTCAGCGGTACACAGGGGTTAAATGAGGTGAATTCACGTCAGCGGTACACAGGGATAAAAGCTAATTCAAATTCAAAGCTTTTTCTAATAACAATCAGGAAGAGTGATGAAGGATTGGTGATTGAAAGGATGCACGATTGGCAATGATCTCAGTTTTTATTGTTAATACAGTAAGTCTTATTACAACCAGTCGCTAAGTACCCATTCTCGAGGAATGGATACTAAGCGACACCGTTCATAAAAGTGGCATCAAAGAGGTCTTCTTTATGATACTTTTCAATGCGTCATAACCTCTGATTTTTGTGCCGGACATTAGGCAAGTCGTTACATACAAGGAAATTCGGTACAAGGTCTAAACTCCACAATATGTGAACAACGTTTTCCCAGTCGACTTGGTGGCAACTTGATGTTTCGGGTTCTGTATTGTTGTTGGCCCTTGCAATTGTTGCAACGGAACCACGGCGTCCACGGTGACATTTCACAGTCCACTGAGGCAACTACAATATAACATTGTTTGTATTAATATTACATCCTGTAATATTCTTTTTAATTAGGTTAATTAATATTTGAGCTTACCTTCGCTACGGGTCATCAATGACTTCCGTTCGCGGAAACTTCTTCGCTGTGTACTTTGATTCGCTTTAACGTGGAGGTAAAATGTTCAACAAAGGCAATAAACAATTCCGCCGTATCTTTTCTATTTTTCTTAATCAGTACTTACAACATGGCGGGATATTATGGCACTTTCTTCTCCTCAACAGCTTCTTCCGGCAATTCTTCTCTCCGTTGCGAGGTTTCACCTAAGGTGGACGATCAAACGTAAGTTTCAGAAATCTAATAAGAATGATCACTGTAAATTATTTACAGCTCTAGGAAGCTTGCACGTCGCTTAATAAAACCTTTTGGTCGAGATAGGTATACACAAAATCCCGGTAGAAATAGTGTTAATTACATGCAATTTTAGGGAACTAATCTGATGACGGATCATGTTAAAAGTATCTGTACCAGAATGGATCGAGTACTAGTGGTAAATCCTCGGCAGCCTTGACAGGATGACCATTTACTCCACTCCGAGACTTCGCAATCCACCTTTGTTGCATCTTTCACGGAAGAAGCTTCCTTTACTTGATTGTCGAGTTCAATTCCATTGAACTGGGGACTCGCATTTTCCCCAACAGCATCAGTGGTATCGGCTGTTAATTCAAGATTCATTAAAAACGAGATCGACTAGGATCGACGAGGACAATAGATTAAAAGGATGCGAAGGCTCAATCGTTCATAAAACTTTCTCCCTATTCACGTTGTGAAGTTTCAAACTATTCGGTAAATCTAGTTGGGAGGAAAGTTTTATAAACAAAACCTTTTCGACGCCACTTTCACATCACCTTAAATAACGAAAAGAATTTCAGGAACAGTCCTTGGTTACCATGAATTATCGGATAACTAAAAGAAGTTAGTACATGAATCTACAAAAATACCACCATGTCTCGCTCGCTTGGTCTTCGTACTTCTCTGCTCTTGAACCGGAATATGGTAGCTAAGTACGCTGCTCACCGAGACTTTGAAATTTTTCATTATCGCCGACATGTTAGCCTTAAGCTCTCCTGAGATTAAGCGTTTAATGTAGGCATGCACAGAGGAAGATTAATGGATTTGTTAGTATTTCGTATAATAAAAGGTATGGATGTACCTGAAAGATGTTTAACAATTCCCGATGTTATATATAATTATCGATAAACTTAGGGATCTTCGTTCTATGACTCACTTTGGTAGCTCTTGCAAACGCGATTGCAGTCCTCCGTAGTAGGGAAATTGTTTTTGTTCCCGTCGCATCCCGAATAGCTGAATCTCCGACATTGTCCTGTATGCTTGTCGAAATAAGCCCGAAGGAAGTTGCCGTTGCATCTTCCCCTCGCCTGTGGCTCGCTGCAAATTTCTGCGGACAAGCATTAACCCTTTGAACGCGGAGCCATTTCGACATACGGTCGAAATTCCTCTGACCGTGCAGGGGATATTGGACCAAACGTCGGCCGCCTTTAGACGCTCTTATTAGAAAAATTTCTCGTGTTTTTTAATACCAAACGAAGTGTTCGATATTAGTCAACTCACGTATCAACTCAAAGTATCAACTCACTTTCCGCGTCTTCTTTGGTGAAGTCGCAGGTCGGTATCTCCGCAATGCAAACTGCCTGTTGGATTTTACATTCGGCGTGGTCCTCGTCTTCGGAGTCGAAATTCGTATTAACGAGCCTCGACCTGACCTTAACTCCTGGACCACAACTCGCCGAACACGGGGACCACATGGACCACTCTGTATAGCGACCTTTTGTGCACCTCTGCAAATTAAAAAAAAAAAAACATATATCCCAATCGTCCTGTAAGCCTCGATTTGCATCCCAAAGCAAGTAAACACAATCTCATTCGACAATTGGACATTATATCGTATACATGGATATTAATAATTAATTAACATGCGCTGACAAATGTCTATGAACTCATTAGATGAGAAGCCCTCGGAAGAAGGTGACGCATGACTTACGTATGAATGCCATGGATGGATTTAGCGAGAAATGGTGCAGGTGCAGCTGTCGAATAATCGAGTCACGCAATTAATAATGGGTCGAAGTGATGAGATTCGTTACGTGTACATATATGTATATATATGGGGTAATGCACGTCTCCACGTGACATGACACCTATATGTGTGAAGCAAATTAGCGACTTCCGAATTAGGACCAACGGGTAGCCATAAGCAGGGTTGACAAAAGTCCTGACTTTTGTTCAAACAAATAAGAAAAAAGTTACAATTTTAATCGTAATTTCAATTAAACGAGGGAAACACAACCCTGGCCAGAAGGCAAGAGGGTGCCGTACCTGCAACCATTCCTCGGTTACCTCCATCTCGTCCTGGTACATGTCCTCCATCGCGTAGTCACTGTCCTCCTCTTCGTCGTTCTCGTCACCGTTCTCGTCCACCAGCTCGGAGGTGGATTCGAGGTTATCCTGTCGTCCTCGTGACCGGTCGTCGCTTACCTTCTCGCCGGATTCCCCAGGACAGGGATTATTGTCGCAGTCGTCGGTCTGCTGAAGAGAGGGTCCATGGGGCTCGGCCATGCAGTGCTTCCGGAAGTTCTTGTGCCGGAAGATCCTGGACCGAGTCCTACTCCCGGGGCCGCAGGAAGAGGAACAAGAACTCCAGGCACTCCACTCCTCCAGGAGGCAGGCGTCGGTGTTCAGCATCCCCGTGGTCCTGGGACCCTTCGTGTCGCTGGAAAAGCAAGCGGAATTAATTCCTTCTCCCCAGGACTGACCAGAAGATGAAAAGAATTCATGTATGGGCTTAGGGGGTCGAAAGCCGCGATTGTTACCATTGTTGATCTTCACTGAAACATGTCACCCGGTCCGTCAATGTCGTGTTGCACTCGTTTGTCAAGGCTGCTGCTTCGTCTCGGTACCGCCTTTGCCGAAGTTTGTTCCCTTTTCCACAAGTCACAGAACAAGGACCCCAAGGACCCCAGGACGACACTCTGCACGCTTCTGTATAAACAATAGATAAATTAAATCCGAACGGCATTACGTGAAATTCAGTACGAAAATGCAACAAAGTTTATCAGAGAATCTTTCGAATGATCGATCCTAGTCGTGCTTCAGAAATGGAATTCATATTTCATGCATGAATATATACAACTTTCATAATATTTAATAATTCATCCTGACGTCTTAACTAGACTCTGTTTACGAAGAGACATTAAAAAATATTGCTCATCTACAGAATATTAAAAAGAAATGAATGAATATGAATTGATGTCAACACTACATACTACTGGCAGGAAAATAAAAAAGCGATTAATTCTGGATATGGAATCATGCATACCATTGTTACCTCAATTTGCATAAAATGCTCCGTAAAATATTTCTTTCCTCGTGAAAGCTTGAAACTATTCTTTAAGATATTACATTAAAGATAAACTAGATAGATAGGCACGAAGTACTTTTTTTAAAACCACTTCCCAAGATTAAATTCTGCAATGAGAGATTAATTCAAATATATGATTGATACATCGATACATCGCGTGTACTTAATTTTGTTTCATATTTAATTAATTTTGGTTCGTCATTGTGTCTTGTATCTCTTCTCTATCTGGGAGAGAAGAGGACTTTTTTTTTGCGACAAGAAGCCGTGTACTTGCAGGGGAGGAAATAAGGAGGGAAGAAAATAAAATGTGATACTTGCTACGCCTGCGTCGTTTCTCGCCATTTGCAGGACGTGGGGAACCACCTGTGTCGATGATTTCCGTCGGGACGTCGTCGCAAGTCTTTTCATACAATCTTTGTCGATTCAGGTACAGCTTTGCCAGAGGTTTCATGTCTTGTCCCGTAGGGTCGAAGAAAGGTGCCCTTTCGTCGTTCGGAAAGGTGGAGGTGATCCTTCTAATCGGCTCCTTAGGGTCCGAGGGAGAGTCCGGTGACTACGAGCAATCACCATTACATCAAGTACATTAGATAAATAAAAATTTTCCAATAAAATACATTATATAAAATATACAATGATCACGGAAGATTTTCAATTACCGAGAGACTCACTACTTGACATCTCAGAATGTATTAAATTGAATAATTAAATTATTAAATTAAATAGAAAAAAAATTGAATAATTTCGTCCTCGAATAAATTCTAGGTGTAAGTGACTAAATGTTATCGAAAGATAAATGATATAATTACGTGGGCTTACTTACCATGTAGGTAATCCCGTCGTCAGTCCCCGCATCATATGGATACAAATTAAGCTCTTTGTGCTCAATCCAGGAGCAATTTTCAAGGCACAATTCCAGACCCGAGACACCCACGATCCAATCCGGGGAAGGATCTAAACAATAGTACTTTTCGAGACACTCTGATATACATTGTACAACGGATACTTTTATTTATACAAGAGACATGAAGATAAAGAATTACTTTGCCGTGAAATTCATACGAGCTCGTGAATGTACAAAACCAGGTTAAATCAATAAATCTTACCTAACATGGAAACCAGAGACATAAGATGATGTCTACGATCGACCCGAAACACAGCAAAAGTCCTTCCGGTTACATTAGGATAACTTATACCTCGTGCTTTGATAATCGTTCTGATATGTTCGCTCTGTAATAGAAATCCCTTCGTACTACAGAATTCCAAGTCCAGGTATATTTTAATAAATAAACAATATACCTGATTCTTCAGCTCCGATTCCAGCCTGCGAGTCAAGCCATATTCAGCGACTTGTTGCAATCCTTCACTAGCCATTCCATTATATTCCCAGAATCGATAATCGACGGTGTGAGATGCTCCGATCACGTCCGAGAATTTAATCAGCCATCCTTTGCTTGGAAAGTCCTGCAACAGGTGAAGCATTTAATTAGAAATGCAATTTTTTATATTTTTAAACCCATGCATTACATTTTTTTTAATTTCTAAACGAGAGGTTTTTTTTTCAATGAAGCCCTGTTTTATGATTATCTTCGATATTTTTAATAACCTTGGGGTGGGTATTTCTTGACCAGAGCCCTTCGAAGGTGACTTCGTACTTGGCTTCGTCGCAGGCACAGCATTCAGGAAGTACCGGGCCTTGGTCGTCTTCTTCGACTTTAGAGTCTTGACAAAGAGTCAAAACTAAACCACCCTCGTCCATGTACCAGATATCAGCTGTTTCCATCACAGTGGCTCTGCGTAATCAGACAGAGTTTGCATATTTATCGCCTCGGTCATAAGGTCAGAAACACAAAATGCACTTTAAATGGACATGAAGGTCCATGTCCATTTAAAGTGCTTTAAGTTCAATTAAAAGTAGAGGCATGTATATCATACTGTATACCGTATATTAATGAAATGTCATGCTCGTAACGAATTTAAAATATAAAGACACAGATGTTTACCTAAAAATGATGCATCCACTATTTTCTGGAGGACTTGTCCAGATGACGGAAACGTCTTCCTTGGGAACCTTCGTCGTCTCCACGACTGCTTTTGGACACCTTGGGGAATAATCCGCCAACATAGTGCCATTTATAATATCGAAGGAACCCCCGTCCAAGGTGTCATTTGTATTGTCGGTGGAAATTAAGAACCTCGTGAACTTCCCCTTGATGCCATCCTCGACCGTTCCCTCCAAGGTTACTGAATGGAAGAACAAATGAAAGAAATAAATAAAATAGATCCAGAATCGTACATAACAATTAGGCTTCCTATTGGCAATAAACGTCCAAATTACTCATCTACCCAATCTGACGATTCGTTGGAAAATAATTTTACTTTTGAGGCCTTGCCTAGCTTTTCCGTCATTTTCCCCAATGTGCGCAGAGGAGAGACCGACGCGTTCAAGGGCTGCGTTTCCAGAAGACCTTCGCAGCGGACACGCATTTAATTTTCCCAATTGTTTCAGGAGTGACTGCCTCGTCCGCGGTTCCCGGTAATTTGGTTCCCAGGCAATTAGCATGAATTTAATCGCAAGTAGTGCGCCCGGTATGGACTACGCAGAGGATAGAAGCATCAATTCGTACTTTATTTCCACGTGGAGACAGAGCCGCCATCTTGGAAATCTCCATGACGACGAGCGACGCCAAAATCAAGTTCCACGGCTGATGAGACATTTTTTCAAAAACTAAAAAAATGTTCCAAAGGCATAAAACAATACTCGAGCATTCCCACGAGATATTTTACGGAAATTTAGCGGTAAAGTCGAAGATCCAGCCCTGCCGATCTCTTTTTCCCCGTTTCCTAAAATCCCGACAAAAAGATCCGACGGGGTGAATGGCCCTCTAATTAAAGCGTCGGGGAAAATGTATAATTAATAAAGGAAGAAAACCGTTCGTCAGGAATTTCTTTCTTTTTTTCTTTTCGACGGTCTGACCAGCCGAATATCGATCGGAGTTCTCGATAGCGGTTCAAGCCCTCCGAATTAATTTGCGCCTTTCTCCTTACGGGGAAACTTTGCTGCTAATTAAAACGCCTCGGTGTACTTGACGGCGGATTAATGAAGTATTAAAGCAGGGGAAGGAAAAAAAAATCATATTTCTCCGGCAGTCCGACAGTTTTAATGAACTTTCCTGGTATACAAAAGTTCGTCTGGTTTCAAGCTGGCTCCGAGTTTCCCCGATTGAGGGAATTAAGAAATCACGCCCTCTCTGTACTTTTGTAATTAGCTAAGAAAGACTTCCCCAATGCAAACGTCTTCGAGGTGGATTTGGGATTTCTGCCAGGAGGAAGGATTGAAATTTATTCCGCGATAGTACGAAGTCCGGTGTCTGACTAAAATGTGCCAGTTCTACTTGGAATTCCCGCCACGAGAAAGGCGCGATGAAAATCTCGAAAAACCATCCTGATCATCGAACTTTGTTGTAAACAATAATTCCATGCCGCATAATTTGGAGCAAATAATTTCCTTACATCTAGGTACATTTTCTTATCTTCCTGATCCATTCGAGTACTTACCGAGGTACTTCGTCCTGGGAATATACGAGCGAAGATGCTCGGAATCGTTGAAGTTCCTCACGAAGATGTGGAATTTGTTTTCAAGGGGAGAACGGGGTATTGTTGTGTTGGCTATTCTGCGGTCGCATTTAATGGCATAGCCTATTGTTGCAGCGGCGAGCAGAATTATCGTGGAGCGCCAATCGTTCGGCATTATCTGCAGTCACATACAAATTTTCTCACATTTTCATCGGTTAAAAAATTGAAATGATCTCTTGGACAGAGATTAAATTACACCGTATAACAAAAACATGGGTAGGTACTTAGAAAACCCTGTTTTAAAGGCGTCGATCAAGTTCCTCGACGTGTTTCACTTCACCTTATGATAATGCAATAAATCTCTTAATTCGGGGTTAAAAATAAATGCAAGGGTGTAAGTGCGCGCTCGCGAGTGTTCCCGACGTTATCAGGCTTCATCGATTTCACTGACCATGAGGATATACCTTAGGACAATGAACAAGAGCGAGTGTTATTTGTTTCTTTAGGCAAAACTTAATCCAACACCATATCATTGCACTCCCATACAACCATGAAATTAGTTAAGAAATAATAAATTTATAAAAGTTTCAGTCCAGGCAAATGTATAGAAATGATGAATCAAGCAGTTACCGTAAGAAGGTTAACATTCGCTAATCGTACATTGGGTTACTTATCAATTTTTTTTTCGGCGTTGAAATAAATCAGGTTTTAATAAAAAACAGCCGATCAATTTCAGCGTCTCGCCTTTTACCCACGGAAATGGAGTAAACGTGAAGTGAGTTTCCCGATTCGAGCCACCTTTAGCATTCGAGCCGCGGAGCGCCTCCACCACGAGAAGCGCTTAAACGGATTGGATAGCTCGGCGATAAAAAACCTCGGTCAAGGTAGCCCCGGGTTATGCAACAGATATCTCATTGAACCAGCCATCGATCATACGAATCCGAGACGATTTCCTTGCGTAATCCCGTTTTCGTGCATGCCTCATCGCTTCCGGACGCCGACGCGACCGGAAGTCGTTCCTCCAGGATTTACGCCCCTGGGCGGACCTCGCCCTTTCCTTTATCCTTCATGAGGAATCCATTCGCGCTTTTTTACTTCCCAGGGGATAAATCGAACGACCCCGATGAGTGCCCGATAAAAGCACCCTTACCTTCCGAAGTGATCGTTATCCTCCATTACGAGGAAGCGCACCGAGGCGTCATCTTTAAAATCTAATTATCGCTTCCCGGTGAAGGGTTCGAAGGATTCACATATTTCATCTTAAACTGCCTAAAATATACATACTGTCGATGACAATTTCTATACGATTTTAAATTAATAACATTGAGGGATGTTGACGGGAATTTTTAGCATTTTCATTGTTTAGACTGGAGAGAGTGATGGCACGTGGCGGAGCACAATCTCAGACTGGCAATAAGTATGACGGCAATGTGGAGTCATCAAGGTTTTTCTTCAGCATCTGGACCACACGTGTGATCGAGCAAAGTGTATCGAATCTGTTACGCGGAAACTTTTTAAGGGACATTCATTCCAGGACCGAAAGACTCCCAGAGCCGCTTTCAATCTTCCCGGTGATCTTTGTCTCGAGCGAGTTACGTTTCTTATAATTTAAATAAATCGCAGCTTTCCCTAATTGAATTTAGGATATCTATAACGTAACTCCAGGTGTAATCCCTTGTCTCGTTACAGTTATAAGTTAAATCAACTTTTCAGTGATATAACTTATAATCCATCAATTTCCGGGCGTAATCCCTCCTCGGGTCGTTCTTCGTTCCCTTAGGATCTAACGGGCGGTGGGTAAAAACGCGTCGGCCCCTTTTTCCGCATACTCACGTGTTTGAATGTTTGCACGGTGCAGCGAAAAAGAGAAGAAAATAAAGTAAGTGCGCAGGCTGTCGATACGCCGTAGCAGAGAAACAAACACTCGATCACGTGTACTCGCGGGAGCGGAGAAGCGAAGCACGTGTTGCCCGCTCGCGGTCCCACGGCCGACTGCCGCGCGCCACTCACTGCAGCCCGAAGTACCCCGAGGCGGCAGCTGCGCGCGCATCCGCCGCGCAGGGTTAAAGCTTTTACCCCTAGTCCCTAACCAACTTTTCCATTGATTACCATCCCTTGGGAAACTTTACCATTGATTCACTAATACAATGAGGGGAAACCGCAGCCGTAATTGATATTGCCGATTCACGCTCGCGTTACTATTTCCTGAATTATGAAGCTCTTGGGCCTGTAGGCCGAAACAATAAAAATGCATGCCTGCCAGGCTGTCTACACCTTTATTGTAACATTTTGTACTAAATAAAAAGACGTACGAATATTTATAAAAATATCTATAAGTATAAAATAGATCCACATAGTGTCCACTTGGCCATTACGATTACGCATTCCTGTAATCCGTGGAATCGGTCAGTGATACACTTGCGGTCGTTATACAAATCATTAAAAAAACAAGGACTCGGAAGCGGTACACGCGTTCCAAAAGTGACTTTCGCGTAGAAGAGACGGAATTAACGAGGGAAATCTCTCTTCGGTTGAATTTTCTGGGACGATTTACACGAGCTAAGAGCTGGACGACGACTTGGAAATTCCTTACGTGAAGCTGAATCCTCTACTCCTAGAACACAAAACGGAAGAGTCAACATTGATTAATCGAGACTGGAGTAGGTCTGTTTGAAGGGCTAGGAAGTTCAGACTAGCACCAACATCACAATTTTTTGTGAACAATGAAATTTCACGAGTTCTTCCTTAGGGCCTCCGTGTTAAAGTTTCCGACAATTCGGTGGATCCAGTTTAGAGAAAAGTTTTATCAATATTTTCACGCTCTGATATATAGAATGACCCATTCGTATCACCTTAAGGAGCTGGATTTTGATGAAGAACCATTCGAGGCCCAGCAAAGAATTTCCTTGCAAAACTGTACACCGTAATCGAAAAGTCGGTTAAGTGTGCGACCCTCGAGGAAGGAGAAAAAGTAAGCAAGCAAATCCCTAAGTCCGTTCCTGGCCTATCGAAGATGTGCTCCTCACGAAAGCCGTAGACCACATCGGAGGTGCATTTCCTTCCGTCTTCCCTCGAGCACGACAACGCACACCAGGAGACTCCCGATGCTTCTTCGGCCAATCCTCCAAGAAATAATCCTTACCGGCCTTCGAAAGGGTATCGGGAAATGGATTTGCGCCTCGCGCGAGCTCCTCGTTAAAGAGCGCTCGCGAATGCCGCACAAATTCCCTGGTCCTTTCCAAAACGGCCTTCTCCATCAACAAATTACGTAAAGGTTCACTGGTCCCAAGCGGCTTATCGGTCCTATCAGGAAACGAGCACCCACTATCATCCAGGTAATCCTGCCAAAGACGAGATCGTCGAGCATCTTCGAGCCATGGTCGGCATTTTCGGTCCCCAAAAGTCGATCGTGGATTGCCCACCGAAAGCGAGAACGGGTTTAAATCTTCAAGATTAGATGGAGACCTTGACGATCTGCAGCTCTTCTTGCTCGGGGAGGATCGAATGAGGGATTTTGGACGCAACAGGCGCCGAAGAGCCGATGGACCTGGGAATTCTAGGGAACCTTGACGGGCACCGTTCGGGGATTTATGGTACCAACGAGTTTCCCTGGAGTCCATGGAAGCAACGATTAATTGCGGGATGGATCGCTTCCTATTAACGTACCGGTGATCTTTGCTCCTTTCTTGAAGAGTTAGCTCCAATTGGGCGATCCGGTTCTCCAGACGAGTGCGTTGGGCTTGGGCTCGGTCTTGCTGCTCCTCCATTTGTTTCACCACTTTCTCCAGTCGCATCACTTGTATTTGTTTGCTTTCCAGGGTTGAGTACAGGTCCTGCAGCTCCTCTGCTTTCACAGCTATTTGCTTGTTCACCTAGTGGATGGTGAAATCGAAGATGAATGAGGATCCGAGGGTGCTGTAACTCTAACCCTTTGACTAGGGAACTCTTTCGACATATGCCCGAAATTCATCGTGCAGGCAATCGTTGGACGCCTTTGGCAGTCAAATGGTTAATTGGAAAGGGGTAATTGCAAGCGAACCTGTTCCATGTCACGATTGCTCCCATTTGCAGCTGCTCGATGACTTTCCGTGTCACCGTCCATGCGATGATCCTTTCCTTTCAGGAGACCTATCAACTCATCTCGCACCTTAACGACCTTGCTCTGCTCTCGCATCACCCGGTCTCTCTGTTCCAGTTCAAGTTGCTTTTGGGTCAAAGTTGTCTCCAACTCCTCATTGCGGCGGGCCAGCTCGGTCAGATTGCTTCGGAGGTCCAAGATCTGCTGCTGCAAGTCGCTGGAATCTGCAGCCCACGTTTTCCCGCCTACTTCCGACAGAATTCTCGACCGATTCTGCAAGTTGGCCAGCTTTTGCTCCAGATGATCGCATCGCTGTTGCCTGAAATGGAACAGTCTTGAATTTTAACAATGAATTTTTTTTTCCTCCGATCTATTTGACCGAATTTTTTTTTTTCCCTAAAAAATGATTTCTGAACAGAAGATGACTTACGATTGGGCATACTTCTTCTGCAAACTCTTCACGGTGACGATCAACGATTTGTTTTCGTCGACTTTAGCGACGAGGTCTGCAATGAGTTTGCCCTGTGCAGCTTCATTGTTGTCCCGATTCTGCGATTTTAAGGACACGAATGAGTCGGGGTCGAGTGGTGGAATGGCTAAGGACTCGCTAAATGAAGGGTGTCAAACGAACGAGGGTCCTTAGGGTCTACTCGAGGAAGTATGCGACGAAGACATGTCTCTAAACTAGGGTAAACTAACGGCCGCTTGATGCATCGCTGCGATGATCTCGTCCCTTTCCTGTTTAATCTGCATCAGACTCTCCTCTCTTTCTTGGATCATCAGGCGTGCCTCCTGCAGCTCGTTGAACATACGGATTTCGTTCTCCGAGTGGTTCCCATCTTGGAAGACAAAACTCGTGAAAATCATTGATTTAATATCTCAAGCGACGGATTTTTTAAGACGTCTCAATTAGTGAATAAATCATTTAATACCTGTCACCGAGTAATTCTTGGATTTCTCTGCCAGTTCGCACAATTGTTGGCTCTTTTCCTCTAATTTCGCATGTCGTTCCTGAAGGTCAGCCAGTGATGCCTCGACTTGCTGCCTATCCGATTTAATTCGATATATCATTGTGTCATTACTTGAAGAGTATTACATTTCCTGCCCACCTCTTGTCTTTCTCCTCTTTGAGTTTGTTGCTGACCTCCTCCACCTTTTGCGTCATCTCCTGGATGGTGCTCTTCGACTCGGTCTCCTTGTTGCCGATTTTCTTCTTCAGCTCGCCCAGGCTAATATACAGAAAATAATATATTAAACAGGTTTGATATATTTCCGTCGAATTTATACGTACAGGATGAAGGTGATACGAAAAGGTAATTCCATATATACCAGAAAGTGAAATTTTTGTAAAGGAAAAAATTAACGTTCAAAAGTGTTATAAATAAAAAAAAATAGCCAACCGCGATTCCAACGTGTCGCAATGCTTGTCCAGCTCTTCCTTCTCCTTCAGAGCTTTCTGCAGCTCCTTCGCTCTTTGCTCCAAAGCCAATTCCTTCTGCTTGACCTGCGTCTCCATGATCTTCAAGGTCCCCTGCAATTGCTGGACCTTCCCAGCATCATTGCTGACTTGAGTCTCCAGCTCCCGAGCCTTGGTCTTCGTTTTCTGCAGCTGCGCCTCCAGGGAGTTCTTACGTTCCTTCATCAGAGTTGCCTTCTCCCTTTCCTCGTGTAAACCCTCCAATGCTTCCTCCAGCTTCTCCTTCAGCTCGCAGATGAGATTCCCGTCCGAGTTCCCCAGTTCCTTGATGCGTTTTCGATTATTCTCGCACTCTTCCCACAGGGTCGTGGACATGTGCACGAGGTCCTCGATCAGCATCGTCTGGTTATTCGAGGTCTCTTCTAGCCGCGTTTGCAGGGTCTCACCTTCCACTTCGTACTCTTCCAGGTTTTTCCTGATCTCCGGACTCAGCTGATCCTGGTTTTCGCGACCAACGTTGGTCGCCCATTCCACGATCTCTCTTCGCTTTTCCAGAGCTTCTCGACACAACTCGACGCTTCCTTTCGGCACCTCTTCGAGTTTCCTCTTCAGCTCGGAGATGAACTCTTCGGTCAGGGTTGAATTTTGCTCCATCAGACGCTCGTTGAACCCTTCACGAGGACCGGGCTCTAACAAAATGTGTCTTTGTTGGCCAACAGGCGTCAATTTAATCTCCTCGACTTTCCCTGGATCCTTTGCTCCGCTGGCTATCACCTTTTCCCGAAGCTGCGCCATGTCGGTGTACAGTTCTAAAGCGTTTTTCTGTAACAACAAAAGTACCCTTGCTCTGCCTTCAATGACATAACGTGTACACATTTTTTTTTTCATAACAATTTGCGTAGCAAACCGAGGATGAATAATTATCTAGGATCTTCTCGTACGTGTTTCTCCGAGAGTTCTTTCTTCAGCATTGTGTATCGCTTCTTCTTCATTGCGTATTGATTCTCAAGCAGTCGTTTCTGACCGGTCGCATTGTTCGCGGATATGGAAGATGATCTTGATTTAGGAACAGAGGATTGACCATTTGGAGGAGCTGCATTTCTTGTCGGCAATCGACGAATCCCCGTCGTTTGTTGTCCACCTGGTGTATTTTCTGGAGTTACCTAGAACGTAAATGAAACGTTGTTTTTTTATTTTTTATTCAAAGCGATATGAAAGGGTCATTCCATATACCCAGAACGTCAGTGATTATTGAAATGAAATTTTATTTCTGACAAAAAAAATATATGATCTTGGTTCTGGCCCAGAATAAATAATATTAATTTTTATATATAGAATTATCCTTTCATATCACCTTGAGTTATTGAGACCTACCTGAGGTGCAACAGGTACAGGGGAATGATTTACAGTAGTCGGAATCCGACTTTTCTGCATGTTTGCCGACGATTGCGACTCTTTTAGACTTTTAACCAGACCACGTGCTCGCGGTAAACCTCCAACGCCTATAAAAAAAATAAAACTTCCTCATTCACACAATTAAAAGTAATTTACTATCTTATAATGTGTCAGCGATAAGAATAATATTCTACGGTAAATCGTCTTGCGATACTTCAAGTGTCTGGAAAATAATAAATAATATTCGTTAAATATATAGATAATGTAAGACATATTTTGTGCTACCAGGGAAATGGCATGAAAATTCTGAAACCGGGAAAAATGAAAAGGCTGACTTACTGCACTTGCTAAGCGATTCGACACGCTGAAACTTGGCCTTCTCGGTTGACAAATTCGCGACATTTATCATTTTGACATATTTTACAGAATTTTAGGGCCAATTGTCACGCGGCTCGGAAGAATTTGACGTTACTATGATTTTCTACGAGTCAGCCATAAAAAGCAGCTCATCACTCCGGGCAACGATAAGCACACACGTTCGTTTTAAAAAAAAAATATAACTCGAGTGAAGTCTGAAGAGTATTATAAATTATATCTCCCAAACAATTGTTTCTACCCCTAAAATCGACCAATCGATGTTTACTTAATTCTACGAGTAGCCTAGATGCAATTTTAGGCGCATAAACTTAAAATAATTTTAGAAGTTTCGCAATTTTTATGTACAATACTGTAGTAATACTAAACATCTTTACGTTACATTAGAAACTGTTTACGAATACTTTATTTACGATTATAATACGCTTAAGCTATGTACAATTTGCAACGAAGTAGTCTTGATTGTCGTCATTCGCTGTCTTCGCTACTTCCAGAATAGGACCCGAGTAATAACAAGCCATTATGTTCACTTGGTGTATTATCTGCTGGCAATGAAGTCTGTTTTTTTGTTGTATCGTTTGGATCGCTACTCGATGTTGGTCTTGCTGTGCTATCTTGTATCTTTGAGTGATCCGTATCATTATTTACTTTGGTTGATGGTTTCGGTGCACTTCCGTTGCAGTTGAGTTTCACACCTAAATTGGTCTTTCGTTTGATAAGCCCAGTTAAATTTGGTTTATTTAACATAAGTCTATTTGCACTGTTCCAGGAAGATGTTCCTGCAGAGGATTTAGAAGGCTCATTTACAGGTTGATCTGGTGCTTTAACTTGCTCTTCTCTCTGAAAATATATTTTTAATTTCATAATGTAAATGAAAATAATAATACATAAGAATAGCAATGCGATAAAAATAATAAATAAATCAAATTTCATAAAACAATGAAAAAATTATGGTTAACTTACGCTGCTTTCACTTTTCCCAAAATTACTTTTTGCAGGTACATCACTATCGTTTACTTTTGATTTCGACTCCTTCTTCCTTATTTTTTTGGGTGGTGCATCATCTTTATCTTCATTTTCCGTTAACTCAATGACTTCTTCTTCAGCTACAGCACCAGTCAATGGCTTTTTGCCGAACACAGACTTAATGTACTCTTCGTCTAACTCTTCTTGTTCCTTTTCTGTTCTCTGTTTAGCTGTTTGTGTATCAAATTGCTGCAACATCTGATCGTAGTCGATTGTCTGTTGCCGTCGATTTAAATCCTTTAATTCTTCGAGTGACTCTAGTAACTCCAATTCCTGTTTCGACTGCTGAGTTCTCTTTTCCAAGAGTTTCATAGGATTGGTTGCCTCTTCTTCTTTCTCTTCATCTTCCTCCCGCTGTGCTTGCTCCTCCGCTAGTTTTAAGGCCATAAAATTCCTAGTCGCTCCTGCTTCAATCTCATAATCCGTATTCTTTGGGTCGGTTTTAAAGGAAATTTCTTGTAGACACCTTGTACATTTTATATAAAATCGATATATTCGAATTCCTAAGTAATCATCTCCTTCAACATCTTCCTTCCTAGCATTGAACTTCTTCCCTTTATAAATATATTCCCCACAAGTCTTACATCGCATATTAAATGGAGCCATCAATCGTACCGTATATTGACGGTTACGGGCCAATTTCATGCGAGGGATCTTTGATGGATCGAAATCCGGGGGATAGTATTTCTAAAAAAACATAAAAATTACATTAATTTATGCTTAAACTGCCATAAGCATTAAGTAAACAAATTATTCAAAAGTATACATACATTTAACACTTTACGTTCAGACATCTTGGTCTTCTCCTTTAACTAGTCTGCGTATTCAAATATTTACAGATAAATAAATTTTACGCCACGCCTTACTTCGTGTGTCCGAAAACAATTCAACCAATGTACTGAAACGCAGAATTTAACCTAAAAACTCCTTTAATTTCGACAAAGAAAATGCAGGTAATAGAATGGACTCTGAGTTGTCGTGAAACATATTTAACGATGAAAATATTCACCAGATGGCGGAACAGAAGAGTTTCTTAATTCTACAGTATTCGTAAGCGTTGGCAAGCCACCACCGTCAACAACCGCGAGGTACAGATTATTTAAGCCGGCAAAATGTGGAAAGCACTAAGAATCGGCGAGAAGCTGCTATTAAAATGCAAAAATGCTCCGAGGTACCGAACGTTCTTGTCGGAAGCGTATCAATGTCAGGAAATATGGAACAAGAGGTTCGAATTGCCTACACTGCAAAACGTACACGTAGGTAATATGTTTATCGAAGTAGATCGAAAATTGTCAGTACACGGTCAAATCAGTGCCGTAGACGTCGACATATTTACACACTCCATCGCCGATAAGGATAAAGTTGACGAACTTGTACATCTTGTTCACTCTTTGAGGTTAACTCCAGAAACATCAAACACGTTGGAATCTACGTCTCATGCATTGATTCGCTTCCTCCTAGAAGTTGGGGAAATCGAGTTATTGTTACAAATTCTGGACGACAGATTAAATTACGGTATCTTCCCAGACTATTTCTGTTACAATATTATGATGGATCGTTTCATAAAAGAGAAGGATTTTGCCTCTGCTGCAAAAGTGGCGGCGCTGGTGATGCTGCAGGAGGATAGTGGAAATCCTATAACGAATTCATTTGCTATTTATTCATGTCATATGCATTTGAACGACCCAGATAAATGGAAAAGGGTAGAAGAAGAAAAGGATGACTCGACTGAAGAGATTAAGGTGCGAGTTAAATACCTTAGGAATCCTTATTTCGATGACCATTTTGATTTGCGAGAGCCTAGTGATCTCGTGGGAAAAACACTGGCATTTTTTGGGAAGAAACTTGGCGGTGCTTTGGGCAGATCGTGCCAATTGAGAGGATTGATACTGTATAAAAAATATGCAGAAATAAATACTCTGATCAAGAAATGGATAGAAGGTGGTACAAAGCAAGTTGTTTTTAAAGAGGCGCTTCAACTTGCCAAAAATCATTTGTCTGGATTACCGGAAGATCAAGTAACGGACGAAGTTAAGGAGCTGCAAAATGCTTTCAATACACTGGAGGGTTGCGACTTGGTAGAGGCGAGTTTTCTGCAAGCAATTGAAGATCTAGTTAAAACGGCTGTAAATGAACAAGCAGATGCAGACATACTTCTTCAGTGTGAGGTTTGTAGGAAGTTTTGATTTATTTAGATTTTTCAACCTTTCATATCGCCTTAACTATTGATGTCGCTCAAGTTCAACTTTCTTCCAGAACTACGTTAAGTGGGAAGAAATTAGATCTCTCGTGCTGCAACAGCATTTGGCAGAGCTGACCCGTCAGAAAAGAATTGCCCAAATATCAGAAATAAAGAAGGACCTCAGCGACAGAGAGAGAATTTTGACCTTCTTCGAACGAGAAGAAGAAATCGAATTAGAAATTGAGGAACGAAATATGAAAAAAGAAACCGAGAAAGATCTCCCCTTAGTGAGAAGATCAGCCCTGCCAGAAGGTTACGTGTTACCAGAGAATGTACCATCGAGAAAGTAAGACAGTCTCCTTAGTGGAGCACGTCCAACTTTGAACTCCAGCCTTAACACCGATGTATAGAAATTGTAAGGTAATTGATACTACTAATAAATAAATCCTTATAAATTTGGTGACTTTCTTTCTCAACCGACCTAATTGCTGACATATTCGATGGATATTTATCACCGATTGAATGAACAGCAAAAACAAAAGTAAACAGATAAAGTATTTGAGCACACACTTTTCCACTTTAATTAATTTTACAATGAAACACGAGATGCTATAAGAAAAACCGTAATAAGGTCTTCCTTCTTTTACATCTCATTTTTATTCGATTTTGTACACGTCACCTTTAAATCAGGTATTCGACATATATTACAAGCTATTACCTTTAATGTAAGAAATATTCTTTACAAAGCGCACCGTACAAGACATTATTAAACACTACTCTAACAAGTGTGTATTCAATACAATTATTAGGCTTTTTAAGAAATTCTTTGAGCATGGTCTACGGATGCATCAAACGATCTCCACCCTTTTCGAACTTGGTGCCTCCGGAAAGTGTTTTGCATTTGAATTCCACCCAGGATGTTACAAATTGACTAGTACATCTAAATAAATTACCTTCTATCTCGGAAAACAATGCCAACATTTGTAGACAGAAAATGTTTGCTTGCATGCATCACTGCTGAATGTCATACAAAAATGTTGGCTGAAAATATTCCTTTCTGAGCTATAATGGTTCACAGCATATAATCATTACGAAGCCCAATTATTAAGCATCAAGCTTCTTAAATTGTTCGAAATCCTCTCAGTGATGCTCACTGAAATAAAAAATCTCCCACAGCCAACAATACTTATAATTCAGTTTCCTTTGTTGATAATTAAAGGTAACGTCCTACGTATCATTTCCCTGTTATCAGTTTTTTCTTTCGGGTTCTCTGCACTTGTTCCAAAGTTAAGCTGAACATTAGTTAGAAATGAAAAAGTTTTCAACTGACCTCTATTACCGATAATATTAAATTATTATTTGTCATTCGGTCACGAGATTTTTCCCTGAAGTTGCACTGTTAAAGCTGCTGTCTCTTGTTTCATTTGTTTCAAGTCAGCAGTTATCCTTTCTAAATTAGAACCAACATTTTTCGTTGACTCCGAGTCGATCTAAAATAGAAATCAGATACTATTCTAGACAGTTAAAAATGACCTACCGTCAACAATAGTAAACAGTTAATAAAATTCACCATAACGAATAACTTTGGAAAGGTACAACTGATATATAGTAATGGGTAATTAAATAAAAATATATTCAAATTATGTCAACTTACCTGCTCTTCCAAATCCCTTATTTCTCGAACAGTGGCTCCAGTTTGTTCTACCAATGTTATTAATTCATTACAATCAGAATGTAACGTCGCCAATAGTTTGTAAGCTTTCCTCGAAGCTTCGTTTGTTCTGGCGTCTCTAAAAATCAATTCGTCCACCATAGTGAATGATCTTTCCACCCTTCCTGTAATAGTATTAATCTCCTTCTGGATCTCCCTTGTATCGGCCAACACTTTATCGATTTCATCTCGTTGCTTCCTTACGTTGTTGATTATTTCAAGGATTCGCTGAGTGTAAGCGGACCTGTTTATCTCTTTCGGAAGTTTTTGCACCTCCGTCACCAGCTGGGAATATTGTTGATCTTTGGTGCGACACTCTTCTAGAAGTTCCTTCTCCTTTTCCCTGAATGCCCTTAATTTGTCCGTTTTCTTTAAACTCGCACTCTGTACACGAAATTATTGCATTTCGATTGTATAAATTACTGACAGATTCGACACTTTCATGTCACATTAAAAATAATAGAATAAAGTTATCTTACTTTCGATAAAGATACTTACTGTCTTTGTGGAATATTTTTCTCTTTCCTCTCGATATTTCTTTATCAAAGGATCTCTGTGTCTCTCCCATTGATTACTGAGGTCGACGAGCTTATTTACGTGCGCTTCTATCAAAGCATGCAACTTTTTGATATTCTCTGTATCATTGGGAAGTAAATCATAAGTTCTTGCTTTGATTTTTCTCCGCTCTTCTTTAACCTCAAATTCTTTGTCTTCGTTCTGTAAAGTAACCGTCAACTGGGATAATTTGGCAGTAAGTTTCTTTATCTCGTCCTGAAGACTTTCTACGTTTTTCCTGATATCTTCGGACTCAGTCTTTGCCTTCTCAATCTCTAATTCTTCTTTTTCCTCTCGGCTTATTGAAGTGACTTTTTCTGAGGGTGTCGAACTCAGTACCGACTCTTCTTGTTCGAGAGTGGTGTCCTAAAATGTAATTCTTATAAACAATGCATAAAAAAATTCATAAAAACTTATTATGGCATAAATGTAAGTTCACAAATTATGGAATGAATCCATTTCGGAAAGTAAAATATTTTTTCTACAGTTAATTACTGTTTACATTTACTTTCGTGCTTTAGTATCAACACAATTTGTGTAAATGTGTTTGTTAACATTGGTGCGTTATTTTCAGTTAATTATTAACATTTAACACAGATTGTAACCTTATCATGTTGTAACCTATCATTGGACAATAATCTGGACAAATTTCTATCGTTGCCAAGGATGCTTTCTGGTACGTGTAACTCATGCTGTTGATTGCTCAACCAATCGAGCCGTTCTATAATATTTGTCGGGGTTGAGTAAATGCTTCTTAAATTATGCGACAGTATAGAAGGCAAGAGGCAATATTGGTCCTGTATTTGGTCAGGCACTGGACGCTGGTAATGCGCATAGTAAGTTTGTTGCTCTGCAACAGAGCAGAACAATAACAGAAAATTATACTTTGACATTCTTAATTGTTCTAATCCCGGTTATGGATGTTTAAACATCATGAAGCACATATGCAGCATATGTTGCATTCCTATCTCACCTTCGCTTCTTTCCACGAGCGGAACTTGGAGATGTACAGTCTTGTAGGATACATTGGTTTTACCTCTACACCGGCTGCCTTTATTGTGACAATAATGCGGCAGCCAAGGTACCGAGAGGCTGTCGGACACCGCAAGTGCAATTGATTTATCGAGTAACGCGGGCTTACTAGTGGGTTCGCTTAGAGTTTTATTATCTTCTTTTGGTAATTTGTCGATTAGAAACATAAACACTCGTCGTAAATCGACTTCCGAGCTGTACAGAAAGGTCTGGTAACCGATGTCACCTCTGTATCCAAGATCCTAGAGGAAAGTAAAACTTTCTCTTACATTTAATTGACAGCATTGCATCGATCGAATAAAGGAAAGGGTATGATGGTTTTACAATTTAACAAGGACATCTTACCGAGCAAGCTTGAGCTAACGTAGCTCCTAAGCGAAAACGGGCTGCCATATTCGTAGGTAACATAATGGGCAATCCAAGACCTGGTCGAATTACATTCAGACATTTTGCGGTGGCCTCTATAACTAACTCTGTTGTGAAACCGCTTAGATTTGTTATACCACTGTCTAGATCACTGAAATATGATTACGCATAAACTCGATTATTATCTTATGATCTGTCAATCTATAATTAACAACCAATGCAGATCAGTAAAACATAAGTTATAATAGTACTTATTTAATGATAACAATGATTAAAGGTCTTCTTAATTTCATCATAAAATCGTTAAAAAGAAAGTAAATAATAAATGATTTTAAAAATTAATGTAACCGAAAAATGGAGTTTCTTGTTGCAATTAAAGTCAAACGGTTTTATTAGATAATTAATTTCCTAGTTCGTGCGTTATCAATACCCCGGTACCACCCACTCTATTGTTAAAAAAAATCTAACAAAAGATATTGGCAGGTTAAATGCCGGACGACAGGTGTGTCACCCGGCTCTAATGTTGGGGGAATAAAATCTTACTCACCAGCCAATTTGTCGTAAGGAATGAATAATTATGCTGTCAACTTCCTCCATGACACATAAATGAATAAAAATTGGCCTAAATTTGTATAAAATCGCATACCATCCCTCATTGATCCCCTAACCTAGTCGCCGATGAAGAAGATTTATGAGCGGTGAAAGATGGCGACGCTGCTGTAAGATTTCTACTGGGACTGTTCGCATTGGTGCACAGCTGCTCCAATTGTAGAAAGTGACATGAATCAGCTACTAATTAAACTTGTTTCACAACACGAGTTAATCGGAGTTTAACTTGTTTATATTTAGTTTCAACTGGTTTCAACCTGCTGTAATTCAATTAAACTCCTGTTAACCCGAGCTGTAGTAAAGGGATTTGAAAAAAACGTTTCTCTTCCCTACCACGTGCAGCAGCGCCATCTTTGATAGCGGAGCCCCCATTCACCATATCGACAACAGCGCCATATTCTCTAAGTGAATCGCCCTCTGGTCTTGTTTGAATTCAACGGTCGCTTCTTCCTTCCGTTCAAACGCGTGGGATTGCATCATGGTGAGTTTTGATATGTTTTGAAAATCCGTGAAAATTATTAACATCCTGCCTTTATTCGCATCAAGTGATGGTAAAATGAATAGTGCGTTTATCGTAGAACGTATTTTTTGTTATAGTCGGCGCACAAGACGTTTATTATTAAGCGAAAGCTTGCGAAGAAGCTGAAGCAAAATAGACCGATTCCCCAGTGGGTCAGAATGAGAACGGGTAATACTATCCGGTAAGTGAATCAATGTATTCATTTTTTATTCCTAGCACTCTTATAATTTAATGTAATAACAATCCAAGAAATCTAGAGGTACAAAGTTGCGTTGCGATTATAGGTTATGTTTGGTTGTCGCGTTACTTTTGGTGACGTTTGTAGTTGCATTTGTAGATACAAAGTGTTTGTATTGATTGAATAGGCTTACATTGATTAAAAGATTGTTCGTAAAGTAATTTTAACATATGAATCATTTTTTCAGATACAATGCTAAGAGGCGTCACTGGAGGAGGACAAAGCTGAAGTTGTAAACGTGTACTTTAATTATTTTTATTCCGTCGTCGGCTATGTAAGCCATCATGCTGAGGAAAGAAATAAATTAAGTTGATTCGAAGGTGCATAATCACTAATCATTGATATGATATTGACGATGAATTATATGTAGGCGAATGGTTCAAATGAGAAATTTATAAAGCAAATTTGCTAAAATTTTCTTTATTGGTATTGTGTGTATATTAATTCTGTTTCGTGAGATAGGAATTAATTACGGTACATAATTTTATTCAATAATATATATCCATGTATAAACTTACGGGTCTACAAACTATTAGCGATCTTTCGTTTTCTTAAATTATCATGCCAAGTTTGCAACTGTTCTTCTGGACTCTGTGGTATAGGGTGGTAATAATTTTTCGGAGGTTTACCTTCCTCTAGGCGAACGTAATAGTGGCAATGCATGTATCGAACCTGTCCTATTCTTTTTTTAGCATGTCTGCGTACTCCTTTTATTACATGGCCTTTGGTCGTAAAAGATTCAGCTGAAAGAAAACATTGACTTCGTTTTCTTGGCTGAATGAGGTTAACATCGATAGGATGACAAAATTAATAAATAAATGATGGCAGGATTTAATGCAAAAGTACTTACCAACCCATAAGTTACTTTTGAACTCGACATTGTGTTGTTCAACCGCTAATTGCTGTGCTTCTAAAATTGTCTCCTTAACGGCAGTTCCGCCTTTTTTCAAAACAAAATTCAGTTGCTTAACCGCTTCGTCCACTGACATACCTCGTACCAGACATGCTATGTACCACATTTTTTTTGGACTGTATTTAATGTTGAGCTTTTGATGACATACGTACTGCAAAGAAATAGATAATTTTTAATTCCTTAGAGGAATGACTAGCAATGCAGGTTATGAATACGATAATAACACATATAAATTCATACAGCTATTAAATGAATTCTGTGAATTTGTGCAGTTGCGTAATTCACCAATTTTTTAGTCACTGCGTATCGTGACTATAAATATTGTTTATACATGGAATACAATTTGAAAATATGCAATGTATACTCACAGCAGGGCGTCGTTCTTCACCGGGTGCTTGGACAGGAAATATAGTTTTATTATGATTACTCCACCGATTATGTACATGTCCGCCATAATGTCCTAATTGATTAGAAGTGTGGAAACTCAAAAATGATCCCACGGCTGTGATTCGACAACCATTAAAAAGTACAGCACTGGGTTCTGTTATCGCTCTGCAGGATAACGACAGCCTCTGCATACATAACCTAAGGCCCTGCATTTTAATTCTGTAAAAGAATTGAAAGAACCTTAATTTGCAAGCATTTTAATCACTACGCCAATGCTTGAAAGAGCACTTTCTTTCCCCTACGATAACACTGTACGATAAGAAATTATGACTTAGCTCCCTTGAGAGTAAAATTATGTTCGATCTGTCACTTATGAATTCCTCATAATTGAACGATTCATGTCTTGTTTAATTATTAGTCATCAGTTAAAAGACTCTCAGAGATATTTATATACATAAAAAAAAAAATGCCCAATCGATAGTCTTTAATACTGGTCAAACAATTATAAACAAAACGTACCAGTGAATTAAAAGTCTCTGCGAGTAACATTTACTGTGGATTAATATCCAGAGGATTTTCGTATATTCTTAAAATTGAAGCGTAGAGTAAGATAGCGCTTCTTCGGCTTCGTCGTCAATACCTCGAACTATGTACATGCCGACGAATTCAAATGTACAGAGAGATTTTTCTGTAAAGAAATGTGTCATTGCATTTTAGAGATCAATTGGGAGATCGCCCTTTATTTGGGCCGCCGAGGATATATATAACAAATCTAGCGGTCTCGAAGACGTCATCCGCTGGGCGGGACCGACCGCAGATTTCGACCAATCAGAGAGCCGGATCGCGGTCAGGGATCGCGGTCCGGTCGGCGGGCCGTCAGTTGGCCCAGAAAATTGGCAGTGATAAGACGTTGTGAGGAGTTAAGAGAATAACGAGGGACAAATACGTAGGAGGAACGTAATAACGTTATACGTTCCAAATATATACCAACATGGCGCCATTAATTCTCAATCGACGGTAATCTCGTTTGAAACGAGGTACAGAGGAGGCTGAAGATGAAGTAGTGCCCGCGCAGTTTCCGTACCGACGTGCAATGGACTTAAACAGTTAAGACAATCAGAGCGCAATAGTGATTACGGTTCGCGGGTGCTACGAACTGAATATCGTTCAGCAAAAGCAAAGGAATTGAATGAAGGGAGAGGAGTTCAACGGAAGGAGAGGATTTCAATGAAAGAAGAGGAACGCAGCGAAAGAAGAGGAACGCAGCGAAAGAAGAGGAACGCAGAGAAAGAAGAGGAACGCAGCGAAAGAAGAGGAACGCAGCGAAGGCAGTAGAGCCACGCAGCCAGAGCCAACGTCGAATGGAGGCAGATGGAGAGGAGGCCAGAAACCCCAGGTCTCTGCGGAGGGATCTCCTGGGGGAGTACCGCCAGAAGAAGACGTATCGTCCCGTTGGTAAGTCTTAACATTTTTTTCCTCCGATCCCCTCATGCCGCAGGACGAAAGGTCCGTACCGGCACGGGGATCGGTTGTATGTTTATATTTTGATTCGAGGGACCGCGAGTCGACGAGATCATCTCTCGCCGACTCGCGAGTGGTCGCGTTCATTTTCTATGTCTTTTATGTGTTCTCTTAGAGTAGGAATAAATTTCTCCCGGGTCCGCGGTAATTTTCCGATCGCGATACTTAATCGAGCGCCGGGAAGTCGGATGACCCTCCGACTTCGAGGCCGCCGGTTCCGCGGAATTTCTACGACTAATTGAATAAAAAAAATAAAAGATTTGGGAGAAGTGACTCGCGAGGAGTTGAATTCGAATCGAGGTGGCACTTCGATGTCCTGCGCCTTAGAGTCGCCGCCTCGATGAAGGAGTCAACTTCAGGGATTCCAGGTTTTTTCGGCCAAGCCTTCCACCGCCCTGGGGCCGTAGGGCGAGCTGGGCTTGGCCTTTCAATCTTATAAAAATTGTGAATTTTCAATTTCAAGTAGAATCCGTAGCTCGATATAGCGCTATCAGAATTAATGTAGCTAGGATTCTTTCAGCGGCGTCAAAGGTAGGTGTCTCTTCTTCTGGCCGCGTTCCGTCCTGGCCCCCGCCCTTCGACGCCTCCAGGAGGAGTAGAACGGTTCAGGGCCAGAGGACGTGGTAAAAAAAATTATGTAAGCACCTTCGGTTGTCATCTTGATTTAAATTTCACGCATCCATTCAATTTGTTTAAATTCAAGTAACGATGGCGATCGACGAATGATACATGTGAGAGATTTGAGCTCGGGGGTCGGAGGCATCCCGGGATGTCCTCCCTAGATTAGGCTACTTGTCCCCGGGCGGAATGAGTGAGAATCGTGGAGTGAATGTGTTGGAATGAATGAGGTTGATTTTTTTAAATATAGCTAGGGAGGTAGGTTAATTGCCTTGAATGAATGTCTAAATGTAAGCAGGCAGGGCCAGGGCGGGATCTCTTCCCGGGGGTATGGGGGAAGATCCCGAACCTGGGATACCTTTACATCATCGTTCGCGCTTCCGGAAGGGCGGAGGATGTCCGTTCTGCGCCCGCGGCTCTGCGCTGAGAGAAAAAATAACTTTCCAGAAAAAAGAACTCTTACGATAGATTTTTTTACTAATATTCCGGAAATTTTCAGACCAACCTTAAACGTCAAATTGTTTTCGGGAAATCACTTCCGTCCGATATTAACGGGTTGTCCCTCTTATATAGTTATTCTTGCCGCGAATAATTCATTGAAGTATGGAAAGTAAATTATTTTCTCAGGGTACTCCTGGACGCCCGCGATTATGTTAATTTTCTTTCAGAGATCCAAATAAAGTAGATCGCGCTTGGGAATCCGGGTAAATGTGCAATACGCACGGACTGCGCATCCTCGGATCGCAGGTCGTCGTTTTGCTAGCTATTGAATCTGCTCGCGAAGTAATTTTTTTTTTTTCTCAAATTCGAAAAGTCAGGGGATTGCCAAGCGTTCGAGACGTAGGGGGCTTTGCCCGAAGAGACAGCAAGTGTCGAAGAGGCTATATGCCGAAGCGGCCCCTTAAGAAGAGGGCAACTACGATGGCCTTCCATTCTTTCGAATGGACAGTCATCAATTTTTTTTCGCCACATTGTCCCTCACATTTTTTCTCTATGTCATTTTATCAGGATTGACGGAGAGAGACGGTGAATTATTATTTTCACGAGATTTTTTCGAATTTGCATATAAGTAAGACAAATATTCTAGATTCTTTTTCTCACGCCAAGTAATGTATAATTAAATATATTTCTCCTGGGTAAATTGTACGAGATCGATGTCTTGCGAAATAGTCTTGGTTTTTAGTCACTTTAGTAAGTTATTAGCTTTTTCATTCCCGTCTCTTTCTGGCTTTCCTGATTGTTTCGTTTGTACCCTTATGTTCCCTTTCAGCTTTAGGTGGGCCACTTCAAGGTATCCTGCGACTTCCTGGTGCTTCATCAATGTTCTGTTTTACCTGTTGTTTTGTGCCCCTTTGCAGGTTTAGGTGGATCACTTGGAAGCAGCCATTCTTGTTTAAGTCATCGTGGGGATGTACTTGCTTTTTGTTCCAAGTACTCGGTAGGCTAGATGAGGTATATCCTTGTTTTTCATCGATAGAATCGGAGGGAAGAATTTAGGAAGGTCGTACACGAGGAAACCGATCTCCAGAGAATAGTAGTCATCGTATATTCAACTTGAAGTAGCAGTTCATAATAATAATATGTATACAGGGGTTGATGTAACAAATGTACAATATTTGACAGACCACGCGTCGATGCGTTAGCATGAAGAATGACGTTAGCACTCGCATGTATTGAACGTAAATGTATGCATAGTATATATTTATATATAATATGTATATGTATAGTTCTTTGGTCCATCCCGTCCGTTTCATTTCCAAAGGAAAGTGGTCGTGCGAAAGTCGGCTTAGATACGTGTGGTAAAGACTTTCTTTATGGTACATCACATGAATTCCCTTTAGTAGAAAAGAGTGGATCACAGATGTACATAGTTATGTGTACCCGATTAGGTTTAGGAATGTGCCTTTTAGACGTTAACGCCATTATCGAGATATAAGACTGGAAGGACACTTGCAAATCATCTTTGCTCTGGGAAACGCCACCTTACTTTTGCTTAGTACGAAGTCGAGAAATGGAATAGTTGTTACGGTACAGTAGGCTTCTGAAATTTAAACAAATAGTCGGATGTTTAATTTGCTTGATCGTAACGTAGAGACTTGTACTATCGTTATTGTCAACAATGTAACAGAGATTCGCCGTTACAATTGTTGATAAGAAGTTCTATCGTAACGGGTGACGTATTTTTGTCTTATAGTCGAATGGAATAGTGCTCACGATTCGCGTTGATAAATGGAATTAAAAATACGAGGTACTTACTACGGAGCTTACTGTACCGATTAGTGACGACTTAGCATCGAAGGACCCAGAACTATCGGTAATATCAATTATTTCCTAGTGTTCTGCTACCGTCATTCTTAACGACAGCAGTGGTAACAGTGATAGTTTAGCCTAAGGGTGGAATTATAGTTAATAGTTGTATCGGTATGACTCTAAGCTTGGTGGAATAGTGTCTCGTAAGAAATAGAGTTTCTCTTTATGCCTGCGACGATGTCTCGTAGGTCGTCGATAAATACACGCGTGTATATATATGTACATGTAAATGTGTTTATATATATAGCTAAGTAATTGCAGACACTCGAGATTAACGAGTCATCTCGGTATAAGTTAACAGTATTGTCGACAAGATACTACTAGTAGCTAGTACAGGCATCTACGGTGATATGATTGAGTGTTGAAACTTATTCCAATATATTTCTCTACAATTATCGCAATTAATCTTCGCAACTTCAAGGATGGTAAAAATTACTCGGATTGGATCTGGAATATTTTAATCGAGGATTTTTTGTTCCTTGTCGATTTGGATCAACGAATTCGTCAATGTGGCAATTAATTCTTTAGTGGTTAATTGTGCTCAAATTCGCTATCAGCGACCGATATAATTTGTAGGGGGAATTGCGTTTGGCTTAATAAATTATTTTTCTGGGAGGCCACCCTTAAGGTTCGAAGAGAAATGATTTTCCGCGTCTCGAAAACCACCCGATTTCCGGATTGAGTCTTCGGGGATGATAGACGCAAAATGTCGTACAATATACATACTATCAAAAGCAACTAAATTTTCCATAATCCATACAAGCTAATTGTAAGTAGAAAGTACGGCGAGAGATCGAGTCAAAGGCTGAGAGAGTTTGGTCAATCTGTTGTGTAAATTCATTGTTGATTGTTGCGTCGGAAGTGAGGTTATTCCCTTATTGGTCGCTTATATTTTCATTCGGATAACAGGGTGAGTTAACGAGATGGCGAAAAGTGGTAGCTGTCGTGAGAAAGTTCCACCTTCTCTTTCTGTGCACTTCATGTGAAAAGAAAAGTGGAACCAGCTTTCGACGAGCCACTTATCACCTCATTAGCTCTTCGTTCTTTTTATCGCTTAAACCATGAATTAGCATAAGAATCTCCCACTTTTTTAGGCGACTGTATTGCTTCACACGAGAGTTACTCTTTGAAGTAGAAGTTAGGTAGTCTCTTAAATGTTATCCTAGATGCTTATTACATATTTTAACTATTATTCGGGAGCGACTGTGTGGAATTATCGAGGCACCAAGAGTACTATAGGGGACGAAGTCGAGTTGCCGATCGCAGCATCTCCTCGGCGATTGATTCCATCCCGGGAAAGCATACATGTCGAGTCCTTAAGATCGAACTCTAGGAAAATAGGGGAAAAGTTTAATTTAGGGTAATACACGATTGGTCCAAATCACCGGCTGGCTCGACTAGCTTATAGCTTCGCAGAAGTATACAATGGGGATGCGTTCTTCTAGGTCTCTCCTTTTTCTCTGTACATGGAATTATTTACTCGATGTGTACATCGATCTATTCTCGAATGCGTCTTTTATCATGCACTTAGGAAAAAGAATCACTTTACGGGAAGGAAAATATTATTCTTGGGTCGAATAGGTCTCTGGCTGCTGTTAACAAAAAATGACGTTAAGGGAAACTATGGAAGGATATTTAGGTTTCTTAAGATCGGTTTCGACTAATGTCAGGAGATTTGTTTAGCAACAATGAATTTGGATCGTCGAAGTGGAATAATCTCAGGTAGAAAGTAAACTCTTCCTCTGAGTGCAGATTAAAGGGCGTCGATTAAGAATCGAAACCTGGAATTCCCGCAGCCCCGTATACGTCCCTAACTCCTCTATAATCTTTCACTTATTCAACAATACCTCTATAATCTCGCACGGAATGAGATAACTCAACGTTTGAACGTCGAAATATTAAAATGCTGAAAAGTAGAATCGCGAGATAACTTCTATTTAATATACGACTTACTTAGCTACTGTATAAAGACTGTGTCCTATGCACATTGTTCTTTTCGACTTTCTAAAGGACGACGAGTGACTTTTCAGTCTCCTCGTCTCTTTCTCATTCATTCCTCCTATTAATCCTCTCATTCGTCGAATACGAATCCAGTCGTATCAAAATTCAACGTATTTACAGGGCGACGCGTTGCGGTTCCGCGAAAATCCACGAAAATGGATGAAATCGAGAGGAAATCTTCATTGCCATTTTCACATTCTTTTTTTTTTTTTTAATTTGATACTCAAGATTCGACGTGTGACGTTTCATTAACCACGTGTCGGTACGTCTTGAACTGCTATCTTGGCAAATAAAAAACGCGCCGATCGCTGTCGATGATTCTCTTGCGTCCAAGAAATCCCGAAATCGTCTCATCCATCTTCGAGGCAAACGCAAAACTTCGCCGGGAAATCACAGTACAGGAAGTTGCAATAGCAGAAGATGACGGCAATCTTGCATACGTGCTTAATTTGTCTCGATCGACGATTTAGGCGTTGTACTAGATGCTAGACTTAATAAATAGTTCGTGGCGTTCGAAGACTCACTTAAGGTGAAGTTCAAAGTGACGTCGAAGAGGTCTTTATGAGACTTTTCTCCGAGCCGGGTGTACCTAATCGATTCAAATTAGAATACGAATATGGAGATACCCTCCAAGGTAACTCGTGAAACTTGAATTTCCTTTAAATTTGTTTGTGGATATTTTTATAAATTTTTATGAAAAATTAAAGAAAAGTTTCATAAACGCCTCTTTGACGGCACTTTCGTACCCCCCTTAAGTCGATGGAAAAAAGAATTACAATGATAGGGAAAGTAGAATGGAGAGATTCGTTCATATCCGCGTCGAGCGAAATAACGATGTTGAGAATTCATTCGCGTAGAAAATAATTGGAAAAGTAACAGTTTGATCGATATCAAGGAGAGTAAAAACCTGATTAATACGTTAGGCGCAAGTGATTAATATTAGCTACGTCTAATTTGATCTTTGAATCTTAATGTGTAAACACATAATCCACTAGTGTTAGGTCTCTCCTACTATTGGCGAACAATTCGATGTGTTCAACATGCCTATTTATCTTCTGGTAATGAACATGTCGACCGCGTCAATCTCTTACGTTTACGAATAGAAAAGATGCATTTCTATGTACACAGTGTTAGAAAGTAATCTGGGATGTTTCTCCGATGCTGCGGAATAATTCGCTTCCGTGGTATTATTGCGATTTATATACTTTAACTATCCGAAGAATATATGTATATATCCGTAGTATTGCAATAGTGTTCCCGCGACGTCTCTACAAATACTTTGCGCACCGGGACAATTACCGATGCACTTGCATTGTCCTAACAAGTGCATTAAGACGGTATGAAAGTGGCATCTGAGGAATTGATCGTTTATGAAACTTTTCTCCAAACTCTCAGAGCCATTCCTTGATTCACTTTTCATCGAGTTGTTTTTTTTTTTCAACCTAACAAATCGCTCGTCTCTGAATCGCTCTAATTATTGTTAGTAGATAAACTATTTTCGGTATTGTAGATAAACTAGTTCGCGCGATATCACAATCTAAGCTGCGAGCAGCCGAGCTTTCGTAAATCCTACGTGTCAATTCCGGCGATATTCATGGCCGAAGAGTGTTTTATTATTTATTCACTACAAGGACTTTGTCGGGCTAAGGATTATAGTCCTTGCGATCTAACGTTGACGCTTCGTTATTAATGCAAATTGTTATTCCAAGGCGATCCGAAGCCGAGTGAACACAACCTCTTCCCGTTCCTCGATTATTTGTTGCACCGGGAAACAATGTCCAATTGAACCGAAGAAATATTTTGTTAATTCGAGGAATAATTGTTTAACCCTTGCCGGAATAAATTGGATGCAGCCTTTCTTAGTAATCAATTGGAACAATTTGTTTGTCGAGTTAGGACAATTTATTTGAGTTTATTTGAGTCAAATGTTTCTTTGGTTCAATGAATGTTTTTTTTTTCTTCTCTCGGTGTACTATTGAAATTATTATCAACTTTCGGTGCTTGAACGAATGGATCTCGATGGTAATTTCGGTGGGAATTAAAAGGGATGGAGATAACTTAATGTCGGAGAATCGTGGAGACTAATCGCCTGATTTTTCTAATTAAGTCTACGTACTTTTGGGATCGCAATTTCTAGTTGATTACCCTTACGATTACCCTCGTGATTGTTACGCTGTCGTTAAAATTACGAGTGAACTTCCTAATACTATTAGTCAAGTGACACCGGAGTAGATTTAGTGAAGAGGCACCATAGAGTGTACAATGTACAAGCTGAAGCATTATCGATTAAAAAATAATCCCTTATCAGTTAGCTGTGCTATTATCCTAGCTTATCGAGACGCGTAACAAGATTCGCGCACTTACTCGGATTTCTTTTTTTATACTCGTAATGAACTGGCAGATTAAGGCGGTGCGAAAATGGCGTCCGTGTATTTCGCGTATAGTAACTTTTCTCCAAATTGAATAGTTTAGAATGTCAATTTCTCAGACGCCACTTTCATATCACCTTAAGGTGATAAGATCGTAATTAAGAATTTTCTGGCTTACGCGTCGAGGCTAAATATATTACATCTAAATTGTATTAAGATGTTTTTCTTTTTTTTTTTTGTAACTCTACGAGTTCGCGTTTAATAATTAGTTAATAATTCATGGCTGCTAAGGGCGGAGGAAAATGCGGCGTCGCGATGGCCATTGAGACTTTTTAAGGGTCATATTTTCGACTTTGTTGGCAGAGTCTTGTTGACTTGCGGCTGTATAAATTGTACGATATGTATCTCAACTGCCGGTTTATTGCGATGCCTCGCCACCGTTTGCAATCGTTTTGTCCAAAAGTAAATTAAAGTCTTAATCAATTATTTAATTAAAATCGTGAATTAAAAGTACTCTTTGCCCACGCCCCTCCTTGAGTATTTGGCTCTACGTCGTGATATATGCCTGTGTGTAATTACGCATGCATTAATTTGTTCATATATATAGATATACGTGAGTGTGTTTATACGCGTATGCATAAGTAGTAAAACGCCTTCGTAAATTCGCTACGTAAAAAAAATGTCGCGGTTAATTCGTCCTGCACGTAAGCGAGTCTCCTACGGTTCCCTTTAAAGTAGATCGTACGGCTAATTATTTATAAATTCACAGAGAGGTCTATTTTACATGCTTAAACTAGCTATATCACCCGTTTTATATTAAACTTCCCGGACACGCGACACGGACAGAAATCGCGGTGACTCCAATGACTCTTGATTTTGGATAAATTCAACGTTTCATGCCCGAATTCAATTGTTCAAGCATCATTTTACGGCCTCATAACTGAAGTTTAACCCAGAAAGGCGTAAAATGGGAAAATTGTAAATTCTCAAATGTGCAGATACCCATGGCACTGTATATTCACCGTATCGGTGAACTTTTACTTGAATTAAATGTAATTCCCTATAAATTAAATTAGACGCTGATTGTGATATTACTGGCAATGTAAATTAGGCATAAAAATAACCAACGACCGAGTACGTAAATTTACAGGGGGATTTTTATCAGTGCGAGCTCGTTGCGCGATACTTGTAACTGTTACTGGAAGAAGTACCTTTATATCTCGCCTTCGAGGAAAAAGGAATAGGCAGGAAGTAGAAGCAACGACGAAAGGCACTTCCGCATCAGTGCGACGGGCCCGACGGGGACGCATTTCTCGATTGGTCAGAATATATTGCCTTGGATATTAAGTTTCTTTCTTTTTTTCTTTCTTCTCGCCGCCAATTCATACGTCCGTTGTGAAGGTGCTGATAGATCGGCGGCCTTGTGCTACCAATATGGCGGCGCTTCGCTAGACGTCGTCCTCGATACTTCTCAGGGGGATCTGCTGTTTTTGCGCCACGGCGTTCAATACGTAGACCAGCTGGTCCAATTTCTTGTCCATCACGGACAGCTGTAAGCAGAAATGGGAATTAATTCGAGGTCCAATCGCGGGATTCTATAAATAATACTAGATCGTTAACCGCGACCCAGAGGTGAGGATGAGACCGCCGCCATTTTGGACTGCAAATGGCCGCCGTGTCGTATCGAGGGTTGCGTTCGACATTTGAGTAATTTATTAATAGAATCTGATATATCGCTCTTTTCATATCGCGAAAGGTGCGATGATACTGTCAATGCATCGAGCTGTAGATATTCTAGGAGAGAGGGAAGGGTTTCCACTTGCGGTAAGATCGTTTGTCGGTAAATTGTTACGACGATGAATTAATTTTTCTACGTGCACTTCGACCTCGGGGTCGGCGAACAGGGATGACGAGTTCGGTCCGAAGTTCGTCCAGCTTGGTTTCGACTATCTCGACGCCGAATGCCGCGATGAGAACCGCCTTCAGGGCCGAACGGCTGTCGGGAAATGGGTTTTCCGTGGGTACTACGCTCACGTGTTCCAATTTTCCTGAAAACCTTTTAATGCTCGATGGAGCGCAGAATTGAGCGTCCTCCGAGGCCTCGTTAAGTCGTTCGGTCAATTACGCGATCGGGCTCCTCCACTGGCAGCTCGTAATGACCTAACCTCACCTTAAGGAGGCTAAATAAGCTTGCAAAGTACCCGCGTGGTTTGCAAACTGTCTGCGATATTTTTTTTTTCCCCCGATTTTTCCTACCTTCGTCACCTTCATTTTTCTCGATTTTTAGATATCGTCTCGATGCCGAGGAAAATAAATGTGGCGTCACGGGGTTTAGTGTTCGATATTCATAAAATGCTCTTAAGGGCGCTTCTTTGGGAAATATCGGGTGCTTGGATGCTACGGGGTCCCAGGGGATGTAAAGTTAAGCGGGGTCGCGAATAAACGGAATGAACGTCTTCCGGATGGAACCAAGATGGCGGCTCACCTGCTGCTCGACGCGGTAGAGACGCGCCCCGATCGTCATCGGTTTCACGTTACCAGCTCGATCGATTCCCGCGAGATAACTTCCCGGTTTCCCGAGAGTCTGGTCCAGCCTCCTCTGCAGCTCCTGCGAGGAGAACGTTCGTAATTAATATCCTTATCACCTCGAGTTTCTCGGTTCGGCGCGGCCGCGTAAACGGGCCTTGAAACTCAACGCGGGATATACTGTTTCCAAGTTGTGTTTAACGGCCCATTGTTATATCAGCACCGAGCACTGTTTTTACAAAGTATACACGATGGTAATACGTGAAATGTCTCTCAAGACTCGTGTACGCGAAACTGGCCAGACGGGGGCCATCTTGGAAAAGCACTTTGCAGATTGGACGAGTTAAATTGCGCACGTATTAACGATTTAGTATCAGGATCTCAAATTTTTGTACCCGGGATGATAAGAACGGCTCTTTCCCGGTGTCCCTTGGAAGGCTAAAATGTGGGAAGGGAGCGGTTAACGAAAAACCATTACCTTGATTCGCACCATCATGTTCAAGTGTCCCTGGCTGTATTGCTCTATGACGTCGCGCACGTCGTACGGTTTACGCGCCTCCTGGAACTTCCTCCTTGCCACGAAGTATTTGATCTTCCTTATCGCCCTTATCGCGTTCCGATGGGTCTCCGTCAACCTGGAATTGCATTTCCGCGCTCAGCGTTTCTTTCGATCACGGGGGCGTCCCATCGAGCGAGGCATTAGGGAGACTTTAACGCCTCCCATTAGGCACTTTTACGTTACTTTAACGTCCACCGTGTCCAGAGATAGGTACAGGCAATTTTTATCAGGCCGTAAACCCCTAGACGTGCCCTTTTAGAGGCAAAGTCGACTCCTAGGGACACCCCATCCATAAATACCTATCCAGGAATTTTCTGCAAATATTAACCGGGAAGAAAATGTATCTCTCTCGTATGAGCCGCCATTAAGTGTCCCCTTTATGAAATATTTTTTCAATGGATGGACCGAATCTTTTCAGATTCCATCCCTTGATCGTGGAGGCCCTAAGGTCCGGTCATTCATGAAACTTCGATGGAATAATTTATTTAAATGTTAATCGCAAAATTTCTGGACAATTTCTGACTTATCTAGAGTCCGCGCAATCTGCCGGTGTGGTCGAGGGGTGTTTTATATTAATAATAATAATTGTTTGCTCCAAATATCAGGACGTATACGCGACTTGGGATGAAAAGGGAGAGAGAGAGAGAACGTTTGACGAGGGACGATGTGAGGTGGAAAAGTGCTCAAAAAAGGCCTGTATAAATAGTGAGTTCGACGATGTAGGTCGGTAGGTAGATCGCATAATGGAGTGGTGGAAAGCACTTAGGCACGCCAGAGAAAGGCTTTTACCGAATGTGACATTGCTCTGCACGCACACCACTAATCGTCTCTTTATTCCGAGCCGAGAGAGAGAGAGAGGCGCTCTTTTTTCGTGTCGCGAGGAGAGGGATTTAAACGAAGGAAGTAAAATAAGGATGTAAAACTCACGTGGTGACTCTTTGAGGCTCCTCTATGTCGATGTCGATCTCGTCGCTTGCGGCTTCCGTGACGGAGCTCGTCTGCGAGGTGAAGAGACTGCCCCTGGATATGGGAAACACCCTACTCGCACTAACACACTCCAAGTTCCTCCCCGAAATTCTAGCCCTCTCCAGAGGAAGCGTTCCTCGATCGGACGGAGAACCCTGGTGGACTTCCCGGCCCGATAATCGTGAAGGATGGCCCGGTCGAGATGGAACGCTCTCTGGGATCGTTCGTCTCGTCCCGGGGGATGGGGATGGGTCGGGTCGTCTTTTACTCCAGGAAGTGCAACCTCCCGTCGGGGAGGAAACCCGACTTCTAGGCTCGCCCATCGATACCGGGATCGATTTCTTATCAACGCGAACCCAACTTTTGTCAAAATATAAACGTTTCCGTCGTTACTTCCGGATTCGTCCTAACTCTTCTTCCGTCCGATGGACGAGGAAGCCTCCTCTAGAGGCTACCAAGCTGAGTTCTAACGATGACCAGACCTATTGGAGAGAAATGGGGGAAAATCCGTTTTTCTTTCTCTATTTACGGAAACGATATTTCGAGGTTATGCCCATCGATTGGAAAAGTGAAAATGGTATCGGCAAGCGTTCTTGCTCCCGACCACGGGAATGGGTTTCAAGATCTGTACGCACAATTCATAAAATTGTCCATCCTTTTTTTTTGCGACAATTTTCAGGAACCGATTGCGGTTCACTGTTTAAACCCCATTTCTTTCCATGGGATGTGGATACCGCGCGGGGCCCTCACCGGTTGTCTCTTCTGGCCCTGTTCGGTGTTCCTGCCTTGGGTTCCTCCATGTAGAAGACGACGTCACCCTCGTTGTCGGCTCTTTGCGCGTCGCCCTGACTCCCAGCAGCCGGTCCAGCGGGACCAGGGACCTGCGCACCCGCCGATTGCGCAGGCTGCTGGACGTCCATCCGGTTGCGCGACTTCCGCCTCTTGAGGACGCTCGCCTTCTTTGCGACCTGGATCATCAGAGACTGAGCCCCCGGTGCCCTCCCGTTACAACACGGCAAACGATCATGCACTACCCTAGAGAGAGAGAGAGCTGCTCGGCGAGGACCCGTCCCCGGGTGCCACCTGGTGGGCCAGGTCGAGTTTCGATCGACTTCGCGGAGGAAACGCGACCGACGAACCTTGGTCGCGTACTTTCCGTCCCGGAAACACGGGACCAACCCGATTCTTGACATTTTCACATTACTCGTTGCTAATGTTTAATAACGATGTCGCAATAAATGATGCGTCGAGAACCAAAATGGCGGCGATGGTCCCGCGAGGTAGTTTGCGTTTCCGTCCATTAGAAGTGATTTATTAACCGATAGGTTCGTCGATCGCAAGTTCCTCTACTCGGACCTCGTTTTCTGCATCCGGTAGGCTAAGCATGCATACGAAAAACCGTAAAACATGCACCGGAAATCGTGTTCGTCGTTTCTACGGGACAGATATACTGCAGACGTAACGAAGCGTGCCAAAGGGGGAGTTTAACGGACAGTTTCATGCTGGCAGTGTGTATCCGTGTAATGTTAAAAGCGATTAAGCACAACGAGTGGACGTCGAGTTACCGTGTTGAAGATTTTTTCGTACAGAGGGGAGGATAGAACGGTGCAAAATAGTCAAACAAGTTCCGCTTCCTGCCAAGCGGATCTGCTGCAGACCAAGTATCGCGGTTCAGCTCGAAGAATAAGTACTTTTTCCGTCATAGTTTCTTTTGCTTGAACCTGTAATCGACTGTACATATTTCTGATACATTTGTCCATGTACACGATTTTTTTTATTACATTACACGAACGTCGAAACCTCCAGTTGTTCACGCGAGCGATGTCGCTGGAACAACGCGCCGCGAAAGGAAACGCGGTTTCATGCTAAAACGAAGCTCGCCGTAGAAAAACATCCCGGACAAAAGATGTTCCTTGTCATGTTGGAAACAATTTTTGTAGAACGCGTTTTTACATGTCTATCACCCTTGAGGCGATATTTCCAAAATACGATCCACTTGCAGGAGAGTGCGAACTTGTTAATGGTTTGACGTCTCGAATGATTAGCCTACTTGATGTAGAGGGTAATTTCAGGCACTACGTGCTCGAACAACGGAGAAACGATCATTGATCCAGTGATTAGGGGTTATTAACGGTACAGCGGAGTAATTTCTACTTGTTTCGAGTACTTGTCTCGGGGTGTTGTTAATATTTTCGTATCGGGTCGCCGCCATGCTAAGTGGTGTCAGAGTTGTAGAAGGACCGAACAACCGAAGGGTGAAAACCGTACACGAGGCTTTCCGGAAGTCCTAACTTCCGTGTTTCGGGGTCGTGAAGTTTGTTAACGTAAATTTTAGGTCGGTTCCCGTTGACATGTTTAACGTTGCTCATGATGCGTCCGGTTAAAGATCCGACCCGATTTTTGGCCTTCCACGTGTTGTTCCAGTTAGGAATTGTTGTATTTCGCCGCAACTTTTGACATTTACGTGATAAAGGCCTTAACAAACGCACGGTAGATACTATACACCTCCGAATGTTAAATTAACTGTACAGCGATACGTCTAGATGTCAAGATGCAGCAGAATGTCAGACATGTTCCTGTCAAAAGTTGCAGTACATTCGGATATAAAAAAAATTCTCCATTCTGGTGACAATTTTCATAGAATATTTATTATGTCTAATGTTGTTTTATTTTCGGGGGGTTCGGCGGTATCATGGACGGAGTGAGAATTTTTATGTATTAGAAATTGAAGTCACGCGTGGAAAAGAAAAGTGTCAAAGTCGGATAAATAAAACATGCACAAGTAGAGGAGTCGACATAAATCTAATTTACATACCATCTTCTTTACACAAATCAACTGAAAGATATCAGATTCATTTCATCAATGCGAACGGAAATCAATGACGGGATGTTTTTTTTTTTCTTTTTAATATATATATTTTTTTTCTTTCAAAGCGAAATTGTATGAATTTGTTGTACTTTTTTGATATGTCGAAAGTCGCGGTGCATACGAGTGAAATGTTACGAGAGATATTTTAAGCACGCTGGTGATGTGTTCGGGGACTTTTATTTCCTGTACATTTCAATTCTTGTATATTCCCTTGGATGTGGTGTACTAGATTTTCAAATTACACGTCGAGATTCCGAAAACTCGGAATTTGCTCCCTTGAGACTTGAGCCCTTTACGTGACAGGCCCTTAGAGGAATTCCATCTTGCTGTAAACTTTTGGCTACCTCCGTAAACCCTCGAAGTTATGGTTTTGTAACTTTGAAATCTCGCGGCCAAAAGTAAAGACCGAAAGGGATTATTGTATTTGTTGGAAAAATGAATTTGGCCTAGAAATACGTGGGACGGGAATTTTGTTGTCAAAAGTGGAGATTCTAATTAAACGAAACATTCCTCACAATAATGGCGAAATGTTAGAAATGACATATGACCATTACGTTCGGCGGGGATGAAGAAATGACTATTTTCGAAATCTCGATCGGCGATTTCACCGATAACGCGATTCCTGGGCCCGTGAGAGAGGTTTTTAAAAATCCCACCGGATACATAATCTATTTATGCGACCGATAGATGTTGGTTCAAAGCAGTGCGCCGGTGATTCGATTCCTGGCGCTTCATTGGTCCGCATTCGGCCGAGATGGGCATAATTATTATCGGATATCTACTGGCAGAGGGAATGCCGGATTCGGCGGAATAACCTCTGCTCCTCCGGTGCATTAAAAAATCCCGACCTGATTCTCCGAGTCCGTAATTTCTTTACCTCGATTATCGTCCGAAACGTTTACGGCATTACCGTCGTTATCGCTCGTGCCGCGAAATTGCAGAATCGAGGATCCCTCGTCAGCCGCGCGATTCACTGGAAAATCTGGTAACGTTTTTTAGTTTCCCCCATATTTTTGCCTTTTTCACTTTTTCACGCGGGAAATAAAGGATTCGGAGCGATCTCGGGTCTCTGTTCGACTCTACTTGTTCGAAAAGGACGAAGGAACTTCGTAAACGAGATATTTTCTATGGTACTTTTGTATCGCCTTTAAGAGCGTTATTGCTAAGTGATGCAAATTTTGTGTTGGCGGAGGTGGCTATGGCGTTTGTGGAGGGTGCAGACATTTTGTGCGGTGTTTACCTAACGGAAGAGTCTTAACGTTCACGCCAAATGATAAGGATTACACGTCGGGGGGGAGACTGTTAACCAGGAGTGTCTACGATCCTTATCCAACCGCGATGTACCTTTGAAACTTTTTACATCGTTCTGGAGGTAACCGATTAACATCTACTCCATGCTGTAAATTCGATTAACAGGGAACATTGTATAGTATCAAGTAGCGATGACCAAAGTAAGTCTCGGTGTTGCCCTTTGTCTCGTATTAGTTCATCTTCAAGAAATCTCGACGATAAGAAATTCATCTTGGTTTTGGTCTTGCACTTTTCGCACATCTTGCAAGAGCAAATTTAAGGCGATGTGATAGTGACGACTAAGAGGTCTCGTTTATGAAACTTTGCTTGCACAAAGTTCGACGAGAAGTCTCATAAACGAGAACTCTAACGTCACTGTTCATGTCACCTTAAGACCTAGTCATTGAAAAGAAATTATGACCGATTAACTGATTTGATAATGCACTCCTAGTCTGCGATTTTTCGCAGGGGCAGGTTTCATGACGTTGTCGTTACTTTTCATGGATCTGCCGAAATCTTTATGAATCTCCAGAAATCTGCGGAAGTCTGCAAGAGTCTACGGCGGTTCTTAACCCTTTCTACGTCACGCAATCTAAATCTTGCGTTGTTTTTCTGACGTTCAACATGTGTAAAAAAAAAAAAGTACTTTTCATGCGAATCTATTCGTACGCGAAAGAGAACCGCATGAACTCGAGAATAGGATCTCTGGGCTGTTTCAGTGGGATCTGCGGAATTAAAAGAAAAGGTTAGGTTAGGTCAGGTTAAGAAGCACCGTTTTTAAGGACCCTTCAGACATTTTCCGGAGATTCGCGAAAGGGTATTCCGCTAACGAATAACAACCGTTCCTCGTCCCAACGTCGACGAACACCGTAAGCAACATAGAACACCAACAGTCAACAACTAGGCGAGTCCGTCTACAATAGAGAGATGGGGCAATAATCGACGGATGAGAAAAAATCACCTTTCCGAGGGGCGTTGTTGGCTGGCCTGCAGGAGTCGGGTCCTTGATGTAGATGTTCCAAGTGGCGACACTGTTGATTGCCTTGTCGGCGGCGTAACAGCGCCATAGGCACTGGATCAACATGGCGGCAGCTGGTATCTGTCGGTTGAAGTGCTTCTGACGTTGTTTCTGCTGCACCTTTAAGGCGAACCCTGAACCCAGGATGCCCTTAAGATGATAAATAAAATTATAAAATGAATTAATAATGGAAATTACGGCGGAGTCGTACGCTGGGAGACATCAATGCCCTCCCATCCTGCACAGGCGATGCCGTGTCTGCAGGGGAGGCATTCGTGTCCGCCATTGTACACACGCGGATCTAGAAATTCGGTCAAATCGGCCCCAAGGGATCGCCTTTTGGATACCACTTTTTATTCCCCACACTTACGGCTGGGAGAGCGAAAAACGAAATTGCGAAGACGCTGAAGCAGGCCGCCACGATTTTCCCTATCCAGGTTTGCGGCACCGTGTCCCCATAGCCGATCGTCGTTACCGTGATCTGAAAATCAATGGAAAGAACCTCATTAACCCTTTAACGGTGGAATTTAATCGTGAGAATAACCATCTGGTCGCGCAATTAAATTCTATGACGAGCATCCCCGCCATACATCGTTAAGGGGTTTGTTCCCATGCTTTAATTAAATTCTTATTCCGACGTTGGACTTTGCGTGAAATTTTTCAAGCATGTTTTTACAACCCTGCGCAATCGGTGGCAATATAAAAAAAAAATGGGAAAAGGAATAAAACGGATGTGACGCTACCGCGGGTCGGAGGATTTCGTTGGCAGGGAATATTTTTTTTCCGGGCGAAACGAAAAGTGCCATCGCTCTCTCCATTTTGGATCGGTGTACTCTCTAGCGTTTCATTTTAACTAGCTTTTGTACGTACATATCGGACATCCGTATCGGGATCGACTGATTAAAAAAAAGGGGGGATCACGGGGTGAAATCAATTCCTTCTCGGAATGGCTGGTTAAAGCGAATTGCCGGAATTGAGGGTAGAAAATTAGGATAATGTTTCTGGTTTATTGTCTAGTCTTTTTATTTACCACGCCCCACCAAAGTGCGTCGGGGTAGGTCGAGAAGTCGTTTCGTCCACCTGGACCTACGGCGTCCTTTTCGGCGAGGTAGACGAAGTAACTGCTGAAAATCAGCCCCAGGAATCCGATGTACAGGGTGGTGATCAGTTCCTGGAAAATTGGAGGGAAATGCCTGCGGTTAAATGAAATCTTTCTCTCGGGAGACGTTTGTATCCGAATGGGATCGAAACGTCGATGCGTTTCCAACGTGGAAGACGACCGAGGTACGGGAGCGGGATCAGCAGTTTTCCTGGGGGAAAAAGAACCCCTGGGGGTGGATTCCCCCATGCAATTACCGGCTCACCTGGCGATGTATGAAAAGCACCGAGCCCAGGAGCCGCCAGCTTCCTCCTTGTCTGTCCACGTGGAGCATTCGCAGGATCTGCAGGAATCGGATGCCCCTCATCGCCGAGGCTGCGAAAACTTGGCCATTGCTTCCCACGGAAAGCACCACCATGGACGCGACCACTACTATCAAATCTAAAAGAGAATTAAGATATACATATCCTGACAAGATATCCATCGTGAATGATTCACCGTTAAAAGATCGCCGCCAAAAATTTCCCATTATAACTTGTTATTACCTATAATACATATGGGTTTCCGTATAAACCGAAGACGACCGTAGTACCCCATGTACTTGGACCTGCATCCTGCACTCCAAAGTCGGACCAGGTATTCCGCTCCAAAAAACACCACCAGACATATTTCCTGGAGGGAAAATTGACCGAGGTGAAAGACACAACTGAGGCGAAGTGGTGACATTACTTGTCGGATTGTTTTTTAAGGGAGCATCATCTGGAGCTTATTTCCCAGGGAAACCCATATCGAGGGTTTGGGGATGAAATCGACATTGCGCCGCTGCGGGGATCACAAATGAACCGAGAAAGTGTATTCTTCGATTTGCACAGCCGAGTGGAGCTTGGAAAAGCTCGACGATACAAATAGTCGATGGAACTATTATGAGAATGAAAGATGGTCCCCGGAATGGAGGGACTTAATATCGGCCGATGGAAGGATTGATGGCGGTGCACGAGAAGAACTGGGAGTTCCTAGGAAAATGGGGAAAAAAAAATCAAGGAAACCGAGGCCGAAATAAATATCCGCCCACGTTGCGGGGGAAGCGGCAGGAAATTAAAGGGAAATAAGATCCAGGGGAAAATTCAACATCTCTAACGAGATCTGTGCGCACTTATATGCAGTTTATCGTTAGAGTGAAAAGAAGGAAAAAAAAAAAATAAGACATGATTCCCTGTATATATTTTTTTTTTATTTGGACACTTAATGAGCGACTCACCATCCAAAATAAGGTCTCGTTCGCGAAATTACTGAACTCGTCTATCGTAGAGAGAGCGCTGAATATTATACAGACCAACACCACGACGAACCTGAAACAGAAAGGCAAACGAGCGCGAATAAACATCCGAATTTTTTATTATTCACGGCGGCGCGTTTCCATGGACTTAATTAATTCTCGGGCTTCCACGGGGAGAGATGTGCCTTCTGGAGAGCCTCGAAAGTTCGGGCCCGAGGTTCGCAGACTCGCGGAAACAGTTTCCACGTTTATTCCGCGGCCTCCACTCGTGAAATGTTAAAGGTTCTGGAAAATTGCCCTGTATATTATTGAAGCGTTAAATCCGGTGCACATTATTGAATATATATTTATACGAACGCATCCCGCAGGATGGGAGCGAGAAATCGAGGTTTAGATGTTTCATGGAGCGGGAGAGATTTTCAGTTCTGAAAAAGAAAATGGCGGCCGAGGCGGCCTGATCGTCGCGCGACCCCCGCGCTTTTCTTCGCATTGAAATATCCGAAAAAACGGATAATACTTAACGAATTATACCCCTAATTTAACTCCGGTACTTGGTTTTCAATTTCCGAAGGTTTAATCCGAGAGTTAAGAAGGTAATATCAGGGAAACGGAGAAATGACGGCGTCTTCGGTCGGGTTAATCAGCCGTCGCGGTAAATCGGATCCCTCTATGTAAAGACGATAATAACCTTTTCTTCGTGAGTACACTCTCGAAAATCCCCCCATGAATAATAAGCGGCCTCGCGATCGCACTACATCCACTTTCCACCGAGAGGTACAGAAGAGATTTAATATTAAATTCCTTCGCCCGCCCCGAGAGTCTCTCTTCATTTTTTTTTTTCTTGCCTCCAGAGGCGGAAGGGACAAGTACACGTAAGAAACATCAATTGGATAGCTCAAAGGATTTTTCGGAATTATCATCCCGCCATTTTTCATCTATTTTTATTTTATTTTTTTTTCGACAATTCTCCTGCCTCTCGTTCAGGAAATTTGCATACGCTAGGAAATCGTCCATCATGTCTGCCAGGGATTACGCCGTTTAAGATACTTACATAACGACTCTCTTCCGTTCATAACCTGAAAAGCTCGGAATTAATCCTTGATGAATCTTTTCGCCCTGGCAGAATTCTAAAGAACATCCTCGTTAATACAGATTTCCATCGGATCCGGCTTTCGGTCATATTATCTCTGTCAAGCCCTGGTTAAACCATAAATTATGAGGCATAAATGCATGGCTTTCATCTGCATGTACATAGACATATCTGTACACGTATGTGTACGTAGAGCAGTCCAGGCCTCACGCGATGAACATGCATTACGCTTATTGCGCTAAATGTGCGGTAAAAAAAAGACGTCGTTATCCTGCGCCAGAGACTCGAGAAATTCTCGGCATTATCAAAATTACAAAGACAAGGCAGGCGTAAAAACAACCTCCCCGACATAATTAAACGCGGGTTTCGTGCTTAACACGGTTAATGTATTTCCAAGGGAAACTCCCGTAAATTTCCGTATGAAAACTCCACCACGGGGGGGGACTATTTTAAACCCTTGCTTTTGGAATGAACTCCGCGGTTAATTTTTCCGGATGGACTTTTTTTTAGGTAATGGAGGCCTTTTGTTCGTTGTTCAGATTCGAGGGGACGATTTTTGTCAGATTTAAGGATGCATTTGAGGGGTTTAAAGGAATGGCCATTGCGGGGGTGCAATCGCTCTAGGTCAATCAAGGTGACCCGGGGATAGATTGATGTACGTGCATCGGAATTATGGACTTCCGGCACGCTACCTTTAAGGTATTCCACCTTCGGCCCGGCCACCTTCGTTAATGGTACCTACGTGCGCCATTCTGGGGCCAAAACAAGCCGATAAATTGTAGGTGCACTAGACCGGCCCGCAAAGAAAAAAAAAAAGTGGAGAAAAGAGCTTCGTGCCTCTTAAAACTGGGTCTGACTATTTATGGGGTGCAAGAAGCATGGCGCGTCCACCTAGACGTCTTCCTCTCGCTATTCGCGACGATTTCCGTATTTTGACACACGTGGAAATTTTGCAATTTCATTGTTTATAGTGTCCATATTCACGTGGTAAAGTTTGAAATGATTCGGTATGTCCGGTTCGGCTAAGAGTTTCATGAACGATCGGCCCCTCTGATGTCACTTTCAGCCCCCCTTAATGAACTAGTAAAGCGATAATTTAATTAGTGATCGTGGAGAGGGCGAGAGGTATTTTTTTTTTTCTCAATTCTTCTTCAGGGTCGAAGATGACGAGGAGGCCATTGCCTCACTTCTCGGGCACGTCTTCTTCGGGTCTTCCGAGATGAATAGCATCGTTTCCTGCGGGTTGAAAGATTCACCGAGCACCCCCGGTTGGATACTTTGAGCCTCGACGTGGTAATCCTATAAGCTTAAGTATATTGCATTGCGTACTGCATGTGCACTCGGGGATGAGTTTAAGTCCCTCGTAAACCCCTGCCCTTCGCTTGTAATCGCGGAGGCAAGTAGAACGAAGACGCGTCCACCATGTGACACGGTCTTCAGGGTCCGTTCCTCTTATCCAGGATCCCGTCGGAGTGATCCTCCTCTTCCTTCTCTCCCCTACAAGGGAGATATTCGAATCGCCCATCCGTTTACACGGCTGGTTTAAGGTGTCTCGGAAAAAGTCGTAGGATTTCCGTTCCTTCGGATGGACCATTTCGGTGTAAACGTAAAATGGTCATTTGTTTGAATTTAATTTCTCTACTCCCGGTTACCATCTAAATGTCTGCAATTACGAGGTGTCGCAGGGTTCCGTCGAGGATATATCCCGGAAAGGGACGCGGACGTTCCGCTGCGGAAAGACGGGGAGGGATCGATTAACCGGGGAAACCGAGCGAGGGAAATTGGAAACGAGGGGAAATAAAGGCAGAAACAAAGGGTCGGGCTGGAAGAGATCTCGACGACTGTATAAAGCAATGGCGGAAATATTTCAAGGTAGGAAGGAAATTGCTACGAGGTTCGACGGCTCTTCAAAGGTAACCGAAGGGCTAGGTACTACCCCTCTGTGCACCTGTTCACCTGTGCACACTTACACTCACCTGCCGTTGCTGTTATCCTTACCAGGATAAACACGGTTTCTATGTACCGACACATCCCTCTTTCGGCAACCACACCGAACGAAAAGTCAATCAGGGGTTGGGGCTCCGAGCAAAAGGGTGAAAAAGAACTCTCTTAGTATCTCCTCCTCGGTGAAAAGTGCAAGGGGACTCTCTCGCAATGACTTTCTTTGTACCGCTCCTGCATACGCAGTTTAAATTGAAAACCCACCCCCGAAGCCTCGGGGGAGGAATTGCGCAATTGGTGATTGCAGCCCCAGGGCTCCGAAAACCTCCAAACTGCTCCAGGGATGCGGACGAATGCGTAGATTGTACCACCGTGGAATGCTAATTGCTCAGGTGGGCAATTAAATGCAGCCCCGAGCAGGTGAACAATTTTTTTTGCGACCGGAAAAGAAAACAAAAAAAATTACCGAGCCAATTCTAATTTATTTATAAAGAAAGAGAGGAGTGTTTAAGGAATCCATTTTCATCATTTCGAGTAGATAATGAGGAATCATGCGGTGTTTCCTTTTCTTTTTCTTTTTTTTTTCCCACGGGGGTGGATAATTGATGACCTCGCATATAGATTCAACCCTCTGCGATTACACGAGACCGGCAGAGCGAGATCGATTCCTCGATGCTCGATGTCGTGCCGATTCGAATCAGTGGAATTAAATGTCAACCGTCATTACCGCAAGCGTGCATCCCTAATTACGGGCTATCTGCAGTCGCTGGCTCGTTAATTACACCCTTATCAGGGCGCGATCGACTCGTTAACCGTCGATGCGGAGCTTCGAAACGATCCACGAATTTTCGACTTCTCGGATTTACAAGACCTACAAATTTCAGCTCCAATCTCTCCCCTTAAGGTGACACGAAAGTGCCCCGAAAAAATCTAGTTTATGAAACTTTCCTCCGAACCGAGTGTACCGAATCGTGTTAAACTCGACAATGTGAATATGAAAGCTGTGAAGAAGGTACCGACGCCCGTAAAATTTCAATTTTTTAGAAATTTCTATATAGAGGTTTTCAATATTTTTTTATGAAAATATGAAATTTCATGAGTTTCAGGGGCCTAGCTTAGGGCCTCTACTTTCACGTTGTAGTTTGATACGATTCGGTGCACTAAGTTCGGGGATAAGTTTCATGAACGATCCCCTTAAGGGGATATGAAACCGGCATCCGTTGATGAAACCTTTCTATGGGTGTACCGAATCGTTTCAAACTCGACGACGCGAATGTGGAGGGTATAGAGAAGGTCCTAGCACTCGTCCTGGAAAAGCAGTTTAACCGATAGTTGGCAAAGTTGGCGCTCATCATTGTCCAAAGTCTTGTTAATGCTCGATCGGTTTACCGAGAACCCGGGTAAACTTTCCGCGAGGTAAGGAAGAGTCTCGCCGAGATCGAAAACCGGGAAGCGATTAACTCTCTTCTCGAACTCCATGATAACAGTTTGGAACTGTCGGACGCGTAACCTATAACAGGTGGAAAGTTTTCCGAGCCCCAGCCGGGAAATGAAAATGATACCCCACGTTCTGGTTTCCTAATCGTGCAAAACGAGCGGAACGACACCGGGTTTGATTAATTCCGGCCTTTATCAGCGAAACGTTCGATGCTTCCACATCGCCGTCTTAAATTCTAATGACTTACAATCGTAAGTTAAAGGAAGGCAGACTTCTGGAATTTTGTTAACCCGACCGAAGTAAGTGATATCCCAATCGATACGTCTGGTCGCTTCCGTTCGCGCCGTCTTTTTACTCGGCGGGGACTTGCCACAATGGGCACTTCATCAGAGGGTGGACTCGTTATCATGAACGCTTCCGAAGAAGCTATCGATTGCTTTAAGTAGTCGCTATAAGTACAACGCCTCGAGCCATGATTGTCCCTCGAGATAGGGAGCCTTTGTAGTCGGAAGTCTCCTTACGGTTAATAAAAGTAAACGGGAAGTTGTAGTGTCGAGGTGGGCCCCGAAAGTGGGACCCCGCACAACGTACTCACACAGTGATGTGGTAGACGCAGCAGAGCCATCCTCCCTGGTGCTCCAGGAAGACGTAGAGCCTCTCCTGGAAGGTCTTGCCCTTCTTGTGGTGGAACACGTACTTGGCCTTGAAGGCCTGGTCGATGGGCAGATAGATGGGGTAGTAGGGGTCCGGGACGCCACGTGGATTGGGGCTGGGTGGTACCTCGCCGACCCCGTCGACGTCGTCGTCTTCGGGGCCGATGATGTCGCCCTTGCTGCGCCTCCTTCTGTGTTTCCGCTTCAAGGGGGTCGGGACGCGTTTGTGATGGGCCTCGGCGAACCGGGGCGAGCGGAACCTCCGCAGGAAGGTGAACCTCCTGGCCGGCTCTTCCGGCGGTGCCCCGGTGTCCGTGTCCTCGGTCTCGCTTCCTGGGGTCTTCAGGGCTACCTCCTCGGGGTCCGCAGCGACGAGCTCGTCTTCGCTGCCCTGGAGGGCAGCGTAGGCGGCCGCGGCGCTGCAGCGCTTCTCCGACAGCCTATTGCCCTGCTCCTTGCTTCGTGGAAGACTTTCGTTGCTGAACGCCCGACCTGGGGGAGGTGTTCTCGACTCTAGACGCCTGATGCGAGACCCGGGGAACCTCGGAAACTTCGGAGACTCGGGGAGATTGAGACGCTCGCCGAGGAGACGTCCCCTCCGGCACTAATTCTCATCCTCTAACTGCTAGGGACGACGCGGTGCCCAGAACTTCCTAACCTCGATCTGGTAGTGGCTACACCCGGACCCGTGAATTGTGTGGTTTGGAGTATATCATGGGAAATTGGGCCTATGTACTTGGCAAGAATATCTAGATATTTATATACTTAGCCGTCGTAGTGGTTCGGATGAACCGAGCTAGTTGCTCTGCTCCCAACCACACGATTAACACACAAGTTCTTGGTCGCTACCACTCTATTCTACTCGAAACATCCTACCATCGGGCATTTAATTTCCTTCCCTCGATCTCTATTGTCGAACCAAGGACCGATGAACACTTTAACACACACGGAACCCTTTGTTCAATTTTTCTAAACTGCGAACATGGCGCGGATTAATTGGGGTGGCAAATTAAACCGTGTGAGTTTATTCATCATCCGCGGGTTAGTTGAAGTTGCATCAAGTGGTTTGCACGGATTTAATGCCCACGACTGATCGTTAAGTGTGTGTGTGTGCCACATTGGCGGTAATGCCTAGGTATTGGTGAATGTCTCGAAAAGTACGGATTGGTTTAAACTTTCAAGTTCAGGGGAGGAGGCCTCCACGGTGAAGTATCTCAGGGGATGTACACCCTGAAGTTTGGGGAGCGAGTACGTGGGTTGGTGTCGCAATTCGAACAAGGTGTTATCTGAATAATTGACGACACTCCGACCAGGCATTAGTTGAACGTCTCTGGAATAGCTCAGGGATGTCACGGGCCTGGCAGATAAGAGTTGCAGTATTCAGAGCCATCGGGGAGAAATCCCGACGAATCGGCCCAGCCCACCCCGAATCGTTTTCTCCCTTTCTGGCCTGCGGCCGTTCCGTCCCGTTTCGGCAGCGAGCCGAAGCAAAGACCCAATCGTTCCATTTTCGGCTTTTAATACATCACCCGGAGTCCTTAAGCGCACGTTTTGTCAAGGACCCGTCCAATCCCTATCCTCGCCGTATGAAGTCACAAGCTTCCCTTCCGTCGTCTCCATAAAGCTGATAAAAGATAAAAATGGAGGAGACAATGCCAGAGAAGAAGAGATCCGTCATAGAAAATATGAGAGGAACGTTCCGTCTCTAAACTTTCCCGAAAGTTCTCATCTGAACTTATTGTGCCTATATTATTTTCCCCGCATAAAAAATACATTATGGGGTGCATTTTTCAGATCTATTTATTTGCGGGGGCGCGTTCGCTAATTAGGGAAAAATTTGCCAGGCTTTCCGGATCCCTGGGTTTACCTCTGGGGGTATCTTCGTAGCTTTTTCCGACAGTTATAGGACACATCCGGGATGTTTCAGCATCCACTTCGACGGATTAATTTGGAGCTAATTACAGGGGGCTGAAACTAACCTCAACCGAGAACCCCCCACGTGTTAGTGGCGTCCTTCCTAAATGCGACGCTCGTGTCTCTACGTTTACATGCCCCACTCTGTCCTCACCCTCTTCCGTTCTTTACGCAGTTCTATCTACTTGCAATCAAAGAGACCACCGGGAAAAGAGGAACTCGGAGGGACGCGTTGCGATCTTTAATGGCCATTACGGGGGGGACGCTACAAAGGACCTTCTCGAATTAGGGCAGAACTTGGAAGGCGGCGTCCGCGGAACTTTGAAGACCGGCGACTGGAAGAGTCTTATCAGGGAAAACTTGAGGCGATCTCCATTGATTTCGATGAAACTTTAGAGATCAGGCCGGTCTTCAACGGCCACGTCTACTGTCGCTCTTGTATTTCGTAAACGGAGCGTCCTGACGACAAAGTGGCGTCGTCGAGGACGCTGATGTGAAGGTGACGTCAAAGAGGCCTCGAATATGAGACGTCTCTCAGAACTGGGTCTACCGAATGGTTTGAGACTAGACAGTATGGTTTGAAACTTGACTTGGAAGTATCGTGGAAAAGGAGTTCCTTAGAACCTCTTGAAGAGCGATTGTAACTCCGAGGAGGCGTCGCGACGATTACGCGGTTGACTTTTCGTCTCCTAGGGAACGACGAGGTCTGAGGGACTCATGGCCGACTCGCGAGGCCAATTTCATGGAAAGTTTCCGCCACGCCGACTAAGAAACTAACCCAGCCGGAGGAATCGGCAAAATTCTGCCGAGGAAATGTCAGGAGAGGAGATCCTTCCGAGGAACGACGGCGACGCGACGCGCTGAGTAAATGGCGTCCCCGCCGCCATCTTGACCTTTCGCTAGTCGCACAATTTCGCGGATATAATGGAAACGTGGAGACGACGAGGTCTCGGAGTCCTCGCAAAAGGAAGCTAAACACGTCCCCGAAGAAATTCCTAACCCACTCGAGGTATAGAAACGTCACCCGGTGCGCAATTTAAAGGACCTAATTAATGAAGCACTAGAAATTCGTTTTAATTCTTTTAGTCACAATTAAAGGGACGCAAAATGGTCCCATGGTTACAGGAGTACTTTTATGACGAGAATCCGGGAATAGTCTTCTTAGGGTGGAGTATGATCGGAGCGCGACTAACTCGTCCAGGACAAAAGGTCCTCTCTCTCGCAAGGATCAGCAATCCCTTCGGAAATCGGTCGCCATTCCCTTCCAGATCCTGCAAATCCGTTTATAGACTGACTCCAAACCCGGCCCAATTGAATCCGCCTTGCGAACCGCCAGAGCTCGCGCCAATTTCGCACAATACCGGATAACTCGGTTAGGGTTAGGCGAGCATCCTTCAATTACTCGGTGACACCTACGGCCCCGTTGTTTTTAATACCCCTGGCCTCTAATTTCCCGATCCATCATTTACTGGCTGACCGGTGGAATTTTTTCGCGGAGCCAGATCAGCCAAGTGGGTCGCACAACTGGACGCTTCAAGTAGGGTGGTTTCAATTCTTTTCCCGGGTCTTCCCGGGGAGTAAATTGGTAACGGAGGAAGGTAATAAAGCGGCAGGGGTGGCTCGAAATGGAAAGGCGATGCCGGCATAATGCGGAGGAATGGAAAAAGGAGGAGATAGGTGGATTCGGATTCCCCCGTAAATCACGTCTCGGACGTCCAATATGTCCCGGCAAACGCAATTGATATCCTGCACGGCCGTGTACATCATCCCCGGGGTGGTTTTCGGTGCTTCGCCCCAGATCCTCCCCCTTGACTCCTGCGACTCGTATTCGTCTCTATACATATCGTATTCTTTGGTTTAATACCGGTATCACTTCCTTTTCTTCAATTTCTTCCTAAATCTGTGCTTTTCATTTTTTATCATAAGATTTTCCGGGAGGTCTTCAGAGGAGAGCAGATTTTCCCAGGAAGACAGATTCATTCACATGTTCACTTCCCCTCCGGAGCTCGGGCGGAGACCGTAAAACGTCTCTCTGGAAAACCGTAAAACCGTAAAACCAGCTTCGTAGGCAAAGCTTGGCTAGCCGTTAAGTTTAACGACGGGGGTTGGAAACAGGGAAGCAATTAGAAATTAGTGCAGCCCCCGGACAAACACTTCCGGCTTCCGGAAGATTGCAGACCCGGTCCGCCATTTCGGCTCGTCCGAATTTCCCGATCCTTCGGCCCAATTACCGAGTAATCTTTTAAATCGCCTTTCTACTTCTGAAAAACTAGAAGCCCGACACTTCTCTTTCCTGGCATCCATGGAATTTTTCTTATTAATTTTTATCTCGACTTTCGTGCCTCCTAAGCGATATCATCCGGTCCTCTCTGATCCCACTTTCACATCGCCTTAATCGTTAGTTGATTCCTATCCGGGGGGTCCGCGTTGATAAAGGAAACCCGATATCAATTCCCGGATTATGGTTTAATTAGATGTCCGGATTGGTCTGATAATAGTGGCGGTCGTTATCGGGCGAGAAACGGGCTCGTTAATCTCGACCACTGGGCAGAACTTCTCGAAAATGAGCGGACATGTATCGGGGATAACGAAGGAACGCGTTTCGAGTCGAAAGGGGTGGAAAGTCCGACCGAGGGCAACGGCGATCGATTTGCCAATAAACGTTCCTTTTTATCGGCAAATCGACGCCAGACGAGGGGCATGAGCCACCCTGTAGAATGAATTCCCTTTTATCAGAAAATAGACGCTAGACGGGGGACATGAGCCACCCTGTAGAGTGTCCAGATAGGGAGGACCGTGTCACTTTATCGGTCGGCAGGGATCGATCGCCGATGAACGTTCATAAAGAATTCAGGGTACAGGAAACCGGAGGAAAAAGGTGGCAAGATAAACACGAAAGATCAACGGGTGTCGTCGCCATCTTTGAGGCGGTCGATAAACCGGGGAACGAAAACCCGGTTTAAATGGGCTCGTCGCCTAAAAGGGTGTTTTTAGATCATTTTAGAGCCCACCGATTAAGTCTATCGGGTTAAACGAGTCTCATTGCTGATAATTAAAATATCTATTGCATCGACACGGTACTCCAAAATGGCGGCGGTCGATTATTCTGCAGACGAAAAGCGCCGATTCGGATGGGGTTCTTTCCAGGGCGATTTCCAGGTTTCCAATGCTTCCAAACTGCCCAACCCTTAATAATTTCGGTTCTGTTGGAATTTTGAAATTCCAAAATGCCCCCGGAAGTAACGAGCTAGGGGGATTTAAGAGGAATCTCGACGTTGAAAAATGGCGTCGGAAAGCGGTGACCTACTGTTAGGGCTCGTGCGTTCTCCAGCGAGGCACGAAAGTACCGAGAGTGCTTGTTAACGAAACATTCAACTCTCGGTACGCACGCCATGCTCTAAGAATAGCCTCGGGGATGGCCCGCCTCTTCCTCCGCAGGTTTATCACAATTTACGTTCCTTGTCCTTCATCCCTTACGTTCCTCCGCATCCGAAATCCCGAAATCCCGAAATTCTACGCTTTTCCCGAATGGCTTAGCCCCCGATGTCAACGCACATTGCAGACGATATAAATACCCACGTAAATTGCCACACTCAATTATTGGTTACCTTTGATACGTAAAAATTACGCGTACGTCATTTTTTTTTTTTTCTGGCTCTTTGTCAAAGTCGTCGCTCGATTTCACGTAAGGTGCAGTAACCAGCGGCGCATCATCTTGACTGGCTTTAACGAGATTTACAGGGCGAACTCCGTAAAACTCGTTTATGACGCCATGGTTTTCAAGCAGTAGGTCGTTCGGTAGTTCCCCGGGTTCTAACCTCAAAGTCCTACCCGGAACGAATGGCGTTTTCCCCCGTGACCTATCGTGGACTTTCCGCGTCAATGGGCTCGATTAACCTCTGATAAGTAGATTCCATTGACAAGGGATTATAGGGCCGACAGGAGGCGCATCTCCCTCTCTTGGAAAGCCAACATGGCGACTGGGGATTAATCGTGGAGCTAAATCCTCCCCGTGTAAACCTATCCGCAACTTGATCCCCCGTCGCGGGATTTCGGTCATTTCGATGTCGAATGATAGCCCCGTTAACCCTTTCTAACCTTATCACAGAGATATCTTAATATCTCTCTGTTAAACTTCATTAGTGAAATAAGGGATTGTCATTTTATCGGGAAAATCAGACATTGTCCGCGGTGACCAAGCCCTCTAATGGACCTGCCGAGTCCGAAAAAAAGAAGAGGAGGTCGCGAAAACTCGATAGCCCGAAGAAATCTATCGGATTCCGTCGAAGCCCCCGGGTTATCGGAGCTCTCGTTATCGAGTTTGTCGGCAGCATTAAGTTCCCTGACGTTATCGACTTTTTCCCCCGAGACTCCATCGAGAAGTTTTCGACCAGTTGCCCAAAGAGTCGTGACGTCTTGAGTCATCATCCACCTTAAAACACCTCATAATCAGATACTATCAGATTCCACTTCACCAGGACAAACCCCCTGATTAATATAAAAAAATCCCCATCCCCATGACGGCAACCATATTCCCCAGCCAAGAAATCCTAATTTTCGAGACATTCACCTCCTAAATTTGCTCAGAACATTAATCGGGATGTTCCCTGTCCAGGAAGCTGGCCAGACCCTAAACCACATAGCGTTGAAAAGTGTGGCTGATCAAACATTCCTATTTTCCGATCTCCATCAAAGTTTCCGAGGGACCCAGAAAGTCAACCACAAAGCAAGGCTGGGGAGCAGCATCAGCTCCAAAGATCGAAGTCCCATATCTCGACCAGCAGCTTCGAGATAGGATCCAAAATGTCCGGAAGTTACCTTGGTGGAGGGTCTCCTTGTGATTAGGATGGGCTTGGCAGTTGAAGCGATGCTCCTGGGACTGCTGGGGTTGCTGGGTTTGGTACTGCGAGTGTCGGTAGGGCTGGCGTTGCTGGTGTTGCTGGTTTATCGGGGCCTTGAGGACGCTGAGGACGAGGTCCTCCCTCGCAGGCACGATCTGCGTAAGCTGCCGGCTCTGCCGGAAGAGGGTCTCCTGCTCGTCGCGGTTCATCCTCGAGCAGGGGGAACGTCGTCGGGAGTAGGACCCTGGGTTCCACTCTGGTCGCCCTTGTCCTGCCGAGCTGCCTAGCATGGCAACCTGCAGCATGCCGACCTCCCAGGGCAGACGAGGGGTCCCTGGCCCGACGAGGTTAGGTTCAGCTTCGCGAAATGTAGTCCGACCCTCGCCGGGAACATGGTCCTGGGTGGACTCTAGATGGGGTTCCCAGGGGTCGCCTGGTTACGTGTCCAGGTCCCGATCAAGGGCACTTGCGAGGATAATCCCTGTCCAGTCCAGGACCTGAATCGATCAAGGATCGATCACCAGTCGACCACCGAAATGTCCCCCTGGGGGTTGATGGAGTATCCTGGATCCTGGTACCCCGCTTCCCCTGACCATTCCGCTCTTCCCTCCCTCGCGCTTGGTTTTACGGTTCCGAAGTGTTGGAGAAGTCGTTAACTGGCGACGGACACGTGCGACGTTTCCGTTTCTGCTGTCGCTGATCGATACGGAAGCCGCGTCGCGTGAACCTTGGCTCTTTCGATCGTTCGCCTTGAACGCGGAGGGACGTCGAGGGCTCCGGAGTAAGGACGACTCGGCGATCGAACCACGGATCGCTTCTCCGTTTATCGGCGAACCACCTCCTAGATCTTGGTTTAAAGTTCACCGGTTCGTTCCCCCTCGGCGAGTCCTAGCTTTCCCGAGGCACCAGCTGGATGAACGGTTCGGCGTTAAATCTTCCAAGGAGCGCCAATGTTCCCCAGGCCTGGGGAAATTTTTCAGGGGTCTTCCTCTGGGTCTTCCCATGTCCCGCTTTCCACCCCTAGTTCGCTCTTCCTCCCGGCAGACCCGCGATCGTTTCCAGCGGGGCTGGAATTGGCTTCGTTACCCCCGGGCAAGGATCGACGCGAATCAGGCCGAGCTAAATGAAAGGGTGCAACACCAGGAGGCAGGCGCCATCCACTTCTGGGGTTGTCGATGGCAACGGTGTCTGGATTGGGGCTGGGTACTCGGGCTTTGATCGGTAACGAGGTTTGCAGCGTCCCTCTCTGCTGAACTTCTCTGCCGAGGATCCCCGTTTCCCTTTACAATCCCCAGTCCGCACATCCCAGAGCCTAGATCTTTAGGATCCGTTCCGACCCAGTGTACCCAAAAATCATTCGATCGCCTTCTCCGATGATCCCAGTCTTCCAGCTCCATAAGCCTCCAAGAAGGAGACCACCCCTTGGAGTCTAGGTCCCTCGAGGCTCGTTTTCTTCAGCGATGTGCCCGGACGACCGATCTCGTCTCACCTGAGCACTTTCCTAAAGAGGTCGCAGCCCTCGGGTTTCCAGAATAGCCTCGACGACGTGGCACGCATTCTTGAGGAACCGCCCGACAGCCAACGGCTGGCTGCGCGGGAAATGGAGCAACGGGGATGGATCATCTAGCGGATCTAAGTCGAGCTAAGGGATGCTGCCGATGCGGCTAGTTTGCTCCCCGAACGTGGCCGGTCCTCTCGTCGCATCGGCGAAAGTCCCCGTGTCCTGGAAGTAGGGCCCAAGGGGATTCCACAAGTCTGGTCCACGACCATGAACAGGGACCGCCTGGGGATGTTCCCCTCGGTTCCCTCGTGCCCCTTGGCGGTTACTCTCATCCGGATCCCAAACTTAACGTCGGCCCTTCTTCTCGGCTACGACCCACTCGTAGAATCCGGAGCTTTGTTTCACGGTGCCTTCAGGTTCCACATTGGGAACCCGATCGCTGGATGCACCTTATCCCCGTTCTCCAGCGACGAGTTCCCGGGTACGTCGGTAACGAGGCCTTATCAGTGCTCAAAGAAACGATTATACCCTGCGGCGTATAATGGAGAAGTATTATACAGTTCCTCCGTGGATTTATTCACGGCGCCGAGATAGTGGCAACGAAATTTCCATATCGCAGCGGTGTTCGCGGCCCCCGGAATACGTTCCGATAGTCTACCTAGATCCGTCTCGAGATCGGCGAATAACCAAGTTAGTGGATCCGCGTGGAGGTACCCCACACGGGGGGGAACCAGCTCGTCAGCTGATTAAATGCACTTTACGATTGCTTGGGTGTTCCAGTATTGCTTAGAGAAACGTGGTTGATCACAGAAGGTGTCTTTTCGTGGTGGCGACTCGTTTCGCCGGCTCCCCGAGGATATTGCACTTCCGTTGGATTCGTCCAGCGGGACCTGGCCGTTAAACGAGACGTGGAGACGCTTTATTGCCAGCTGGACTCGTCCAGCGCGTCGAGGGTTGGGGGTTAGGACGACACTCTACGCCGCCTTCTGCGCCCGGGCCTCGATTAACGCGTCCGTTTGGAGGTTAGTCGAGCAACGTCCTCGTTGGATGTTATTTCGCCCTGCGAGCTGTATCCCGGAGTGCCGACCTAATCCTAGCCGGTCGGATCCTAAGTCTATACGAGCGAGGACGTTGATCGAGCTTCGGCACCTCCATCAGGACCTACGCAATCCTGCGTTAAAGTCCCGAAATCATTCGGTCCACCGGTTTTATTAATATCCCGAGTTTTGGTATATACATGTGCCACTTTCACATCCCCTCGAGGACGTGTATCCTCTAGCACCGTTCCAAGAGATATCTCCCCGGTTCGACGAATCTCTCGGTCTCGGTTCCCACGAAACGCTTTCCTCGAGGATATCCGATGCGGTCCCGCCACGTGTTCCCACCCTCCCTCCGGGGCACCAGAATCGCAGTCGCCCTCCGTGATATATCCCCTCTCTCTCTCTCTCTCCTAGCCCCCTTCCGGAACTCTAGTCGCGTGTCGCGGACGCGCTCGCGCAGTCTCGCAGGAGCTGGTGCTGGTTGTCCTCTCAGGGCGAAGGCCCGCAACCAACTGTGGCTCCTGGCGGCCGGTAGTTCCGCCGCCCGCCGCGCCTCGGAGGGAGGTTTGGCGCTCGGGGGCGGAGGGTGGTCCACCCCCACCGGGACTACGTCTTCGACGCCGGTCGACTCGCCGGACGAATTCGCGCCCCGGAATGCCTCCCCATTACCCCCAGGAAGGGGGAACTCGATCCGCGTTACGGCTGATCGATGGAACCTACCCGCCTCTCTCGGAACTCATGGCGCCGAATTTACTATTTGGGGCAGACACTTTTTTTTTTTTTTACAAATGGAATCTCTTTTCATTTTCTGTAAGATTTGAGATCTTTGCTTCTTGATGGTTGCGCTAAACTTTGAGCTTTACTGCTACTTACAACCAAGTACAGCGGCCTTCTCCGGAATTGCTCGGCCCCGACTCTTCGACTTCTCGAGGGTCAATTTTGAACGACTCCGTCCACGTACAGATTTTTTTTTTTTTCCAGGTAATTGAGTCGACGCGAGAGTACTGATTTCATTTTTAACTCGCGGGGACCAATAAATCCCGAAAGCGTAAATCTTTCGTCCCTTCGGCTTGAAAATGCAAAGCTCCATTTTGGCACCGGCGCGATTCGGCCGATTGTTCCTAGCTTCGATTGTTTCGTCCGAATGATATTATGTTTCCGAGTTTCGGGGGAACCGCAACAGCAGGCGCGAAGCGGCGCGGAAAACGCGGGCCAAATCCTGGAATATCCAGGGAGGACATCGAGGAGAGATTTTATAAAAAAAAAATCTCCTCGATCTGGGGCTTTTTACCCGAAACATTTTTCTCTATCGACGAGGTCTCGTCTCGATGAAGAAATCTTCGTTTCGGAGTCCTTCGTCCTGATCCTGGAGAAGGACCCGAAGAGCTCGGTCTTCGTGGCGCGGACGTGGATTTACGTACTTTCCCTTCCCTTTCCAGGGGGAAATGGGGGAATGATGGATGGTGGGTGCGGGAAAGGAAACACTGGCCCATCGAAATATCCACGAGACTGGGAATATTTCGGATTCTCGTAAGCCAAACGATCCATGAAACGCCGCGAACGCGGATGCACGAAATTCCAGCCGAAGCGGAAACGACGGTGACCCTGAATTCGGGGCACGGGAATATTTATTTCTACGGATCCTCTCCAGGACCCTAAACATGAATTTCGGGAATACAATAAATGCCAGGCATTGGTTTAACCCTTTATCTTTAATGGCTCGACATCTTAGCGTTGCCAGCGTCGTCGTCCTGCCCAATCTTTCGACTTCGGACGAGCCTTGTCTCTTAACAAGTCGTGATATAGAAAAATGTTTCGGACAAATTTTGTAGGCGATTATAAACTCCAGATTTTTTATAGGAAACATTTTTTTATACACGCAACGGTTTAGGCACTAGTTCATCCCGAGTAGTAGATGTTGCAGCGAGGAGTTTGTGGCATTGAGTTGAGGTTAGGATTTCGCTTGGAGCAATATCTGCAGAAACGGCACGGAGATCCGCCTTCGATGTCTTCCCTCTTTTTTATCGAGGTCTGCAACTCGTGCGTGGGAGACCTTCGTAAAAGTGCATAACGTAAACCCGGGGCCCGGTTTACAGCTGTAATTTCAAAAGTGGATGGAGAGCACAACATGCATTGTAAAAGCAGCTATGCCCTCGGCTTCCTGTAGAAAAATCTCAAAGGGATCTCCGCGATCCTTAAATGAGACATTATGCTCCTTTATTGCAACTCGCAGGAATATTGCAACGTCCTGCGTCGAGCCGAACCATTCGTCCAGTATATCGTTTCGTTTCCGAAGAAACGAGGGAAATAAATTCCGGCAATCCCAGGAAAATACCCTAAGAATTTTTTTCATGGATAAATGTTCCTATCGAATTAATAGAGACTGATATGACTAAACTGGACGACGTGGGATCGACTTCAGAATTTTTAGAAATAAAAAGGTGGATCCCCAAACGGTCCGGTGAGATCCTGGGGAGGATTTATCATAGAGGCAAAGGAGTCTTCGGGAGAGGAAGTGGATTTTAGAGAGAGAGAGATCGCTCGACGGGTTTTCCTTTTCCTCGCAAGCGAAGAATCCGATTCGGCAGGGACTTCGAATCTTCCTCGTCAAAGGAAGAACGGGCACGACGTGCAGGAAAAGTTGGAGGGACTTCAAACGACGTTAGAGACGTTACCCTCCCTTTCGTGGAGAGGTTCCCTTCGGCCAGGAAAATCAATGGAGGAAGACATGGGGAAAACGTTGAATTCGTAATTATTATGGAGT